TATATATATATATATATATATATATATATATATATATATATATATATATATATATATATATATATATATATATATATATATAAGATTTAGCCGTAGAAATAAAAACAGCTTCCTCGATTACGATTGATCAATGCCCGTTGTTGCATTCAAAAGATGAACGCGCACCGGTCGCCCATCTAGTGGGCGCATATTCACCTAACCCCAACCTAACCTCAACTGTACCGAACGTCAGCAGTGATCGTAGGCGCGTACACACAGTGACAAACGTCAAGCGCGCACTCGGCAAGAGAACGCGAACTCGTAGGCTAACGCGACTTTGTTGCGCTTTGTTGAATGATTCATTCGCGTTGCGTGGACCGCGTGGACGCGAATTATGGCGCACCGTAAAAAGACTACGAGCCACGACGAGTCCTGCCATCGATCGTCGTCGTTACGAAAAAACTCGAAACACTACGTCGCCGACGCCGAGCATGTCGTCTTCTCATCGTCCTCGTCGTCCGACGAGGAAGTGGCAGCCGTTTGCCGCGGCGGACGCCGAGACTCGTCATCGACGGATCATTTTGTCAGAAGTCGCGGCGACGTCGTCGTCGCCGAGCAGCCGACAGGTTAGGAGAGCTCCCTCGTCTCGCCTCTTCTCGACGACTCGCTCGTTGTTTCTCCCTTGTTGTTTTTCCTTTCTTGTTTGAATAGCACGTACGATCGTTTTATTTCCACAAAAACCCAACGAATGATGACGTGTCGCAGGTCAGGAGAGCCGAGAGCGTCGCGAGAGCAATCCCTTCAGTTTCAAGGTCTTTTTGAAGAACGACACGCAGAGCGGCAATTCCTATCACAATACCGGAGCGCGACCAAAGGTGTACTATACACCGGCGTCGAGTCCTGGCAGCCACGAGGCCACTAAGGAGACCGGGGTTTACTCCTCCCGAAATCCTACGGAACTTCCAGACTTTGTGCAGGATCACTTGGTCATAGAGCAGTGTTATCTGAACGAACCAGCCGCGCAGCAGGTGCTGCTCGACGTGGACAATCTTCCGGACTTTGCTCTGAACAGCATGGAACAGCAGAGGCAGCCGCGACTGCGAAGCGAAAGCGGCAAGAGGGACGACTCCAGTGTTCTGTGCGATCTGCCGTTTGATCTCACCGGCATGCTGGACAAGGGCTTGCCTTCTCACAGAGATCGTTCCAATCACTTGGACCTGCCTACCTTCGAAAGATGTCCCACGCTCGCTTATCGTCCTGAACCCGCAGGTTCTTTTCTTTCACCAGCATCTTTATCATCCGTGTCACCTTGAACTCACACTTTTTTTTTTCATTTGCAGACTTTCCCTTTGACTTGCCGCTGCCCCTTCCCGGCAGCCACGAGGCACGCGTCGGTACCGGTGCGAGTGCGAACACACGGGACGAGCCGCCAACGAGCGAAACGAGCGTCCACAAGTCTTTGCCGGACTTTTTGAGCGACGGTCCTATACACAACAGAACGACGGATGCGGAACCCAAGTCGAGCATGACGGAATCTACGGAAAGATGGGTGAGATGATCATCGCACACTTGGATCAGCTGTTGTCAATCGGTAATTACGGTAATGCAACGAAACGTCGCGTGTGTTGCAGCTCTCGCTCGAAAACGAAAGATTACGTCGTGAATTGGATACCGCTCGAAGGCAAATCACCGAAAAAACGGACAGGTAATCAATCACTTGCGAGTAGATATCACTTGATCGGTACACGACGCGCGCTGATTCACAGGATTCGTTCGTTGGAGGTTGAACTGCTATCCAGACAAGAAGTCGAGCACGAGGAAACTGCGCACTTGGAAAAGGCGATGGAGCAGGTTGAAGATAATTTGAAGCAGAGTACAGTGAGTATAGATATACAGTTGATATAGATATAATTTTTATATGGCTATTATTCTGTATGTCTCTATCTTGTAGAAGAGAGCAGTCAACGCTGAAAGCACCGTCGCATCACTGAAAAAGGAAATTAAAGCTTTGACGGTTAGCACGCACTTCAATAACCATCTTTCTATATAATAAGGGATGAGATATGACACTAACGTAGCGATCGGATTGTTCGATTCAGACAGAGATATCCCTCTTGCGGTTGGAGAACAGCGAACTTCGGGCCGGTGTTGCAGCAACAACGGGACAAGGCGAGTCGAGCGCAAATGCTGCCAATACCAATCGTACCGTCAAAAGACTCGCCCGGGATTTATTCGCAGCTGCGTCGTCGGCCGAAGTGTCGCTCAGGTGAGGAAATATTCAGATGATCTGCAAACCACGACGTAACTAGAAGAAAATAAATCCGATATCTGTTTATACAGACAACTGATGTCCGGTGTGGACAATCTACGAGTCCTCGCGTCGACTTTAGAGAACGTGGATAGGATAAAAGACTGGACCAAAGACTTTTTACCTGACTTTGAAGAGGACAATGCCACCGGTCCCGCTGTATAATGAGACTCCCTACGTGTATATATATGTATATACACAACACACGTATACACACACACACACACACACACACACACACACACATATATATACGTTGTATACATTTGTATTTTCGCACTATCCCATTTTTGTCGCTCCTCCGTGTATCCTACCGTTATCTCTACGCCAGGTGTTTCGCTGTTGTCGCGAAAACTAGTTGCGTCAGCGACAACTGTTAACCGTTTCCTCGCCGTTCTAAAACCGAATATCCAGACGGATTTGCATAGTCGCATTATGCGTGCATGACGCGTGTAGCGATTGTACTTTAGATTTGTAATTAGCCTAAAATGTAGAATGCGGCCTTTGATTTCTTTGTGCGTGCACGTTGTGCAGCTACGCGACACCGTCCGGACTTGATGCGTTGTGCAACGTCGCGCGTCTGCGAGTGCAATGAGGTATACACTCATCCGATCCAATCTTGTTATCTGCGTTCGCAGAATTAAATTCCCACTTTTCACTCGTGTAAAACCGTGTAAAACCGCCGCCCATACGACTCGACAACACAAGCGACGTGATCGCTCTGAACACGCGTAAATACATATTATTTATAAAGCATTCGTGACAAATTTTTATATTTTTGCGTTTGTGAATAGTCTGTGAAGACTTGTGCTTACTCGTTACCATGACACAAAAATGTACATGTATTTCTTATACGATATAGATTTCTACGCGGTCTCTCTTTCACGATTTTCAAAGGAATATATTTTCTTAGTTGTATATTGTTGTACATGCGAACAAAACGAAAACAAAAAAAAAAGAAATGAATGTATGAATTCAGAATCACATCGTAATTTCGAATCTCGTAACAGTGCAAAATCAAACGAAAGAAGCCGACAAAAGTGACGTTTTGTGCGCGTCACAATATGCAGCGCGCAATATAACCCAGAATATATTTTTTACAAGAGCATATCCTTACGACGTATACGACGTGCAAGGCTTTAAATAGATATGAGACAGATTATACATTTAGCGTTTCCATTACAGTTCAGTAAATTTATCGATAAATTACAGATTAACGATGAATACACGCACACGCGCGCACACACACACACACACACACACACACAGGGCATTCTAGATTCGTCTCCGCAACGTTTGTAGGAACGTAGAACGGATTGAGTATAAAAATATACCGTTTTGCGATATTTGCAATATATCTCGAGATATTAATTAAAAAAGATTTGTGCATTATCGCGCACAATCATGTAACAATTTTCTTTCATTAATAACTAAAAATCGACGTAGTTATTTACAAAATGATTAAGGACTTCTTTGTTCAGTTTGATCTAATGTACGGCACATATCACCAGCTTATCTATCATATCGCGCTTGATCATGCACTAATCTTCTTTAATTAATATCTCGACATTTATTGCGAATATCGCAAAACAGTGTGGGACTTTTATATTCATCTCAATACGTTCCTACGAGTGTTGCAGAGACTGGGATCGATATTGGATGCATAAATACATACAAAGTGCGTAATACATTGGCAATGAGAAAGATTGCGATCCAAATTAAACAATTATACGTCCACATACATACACGCGCGCACGCGCAACGGCAGGAGAAAAATTAACGGTGCTTGCTCTGTCAACTTTTTTATTTGGCACTTCCGCAGGGTATCGAATAAAAAAGTTTGAATAAGAGCAAAACAATTATTCGATCTACGTAGAAGATATAGGGTGTTCCGAATGGGGATTTAGTTCCCTCTCGACGACAGATTCTATCACAAATTGCAAGCTGATATTTTTTGAACAATTATATTGCATATGACAGAGTAATCGAAAGAACGGTGCGAGATACAGATCGTAATAAACGTATACGATTGCACGTATAAAGATCACAATAAATTAATAAGTCAATAGAGAATATCCTTTGTATTCACAACGCATGTGTTAGACAAGGACGAAACATGGCGAATATATAATTGAAAACGCAATAAATGAAAGGTGCTTAAACACCAAACTGATCAAAATCTAAGTGGTGAAATAAAAACAGCAAAGTAAGTAACGATCGGAACGTGTTATTGCAATCCCTCAAAGATACTCAACAGATCCGTTTGTGTTTCAGTGTGACTGGTCTGCGTGTTCAACCAGGATCTGCAGGCGCCCATAGGAATATTACAGCCGGCCTCGCATATCAGCGACTTGGTTTGCGTCTCGGTAGAGACGGTAGTGTCGTCGTGGGACCAGGCGGTCTGCGTCTGTATGTTGGACATCAGTCCCAAATCGGAAGACAGCATTTCGCTGCAGGTCTGCGTGCACGTGTTATTGTATAACAGTTGCTCCATGTTGTCGAGATTGTCCGTGGTTTGCGTCTCGATGTTGGAACTTAACGTGAAAGAACGCGACAGAGACTCGGAATAAAAGTACGACGGCGAGAACGCCTGCTCGGTCTGCGTCTCTATGCTACTGAATCTGTCGTCGAACGCAGTGGTCTTGGCGCCGGTCAACAGAGGATCCACCTGGGACGATATGCCGGTCTCGGCGGAGACAAATGGGTAGCCTTCGACGTAGGGCAATGTCATCAGCGCCACGCTGCTTTTCGGCACGCACTGTATGAGAGGATTGCGACTATGCTCGTAGAGCGTCTCGAATTCCGTTTGCGTGACGCTGTCGTTGAACGTCTCAAACATATCCTTCTCGGGTATCGTCTGCGTGCCCGACGTGCTCTTTTCCTCCCAAAAGTCTTGCAGTCCAACATCGTGACGAAGCGGTAACGGGCTCGCCGGGAACAAGTTGGCCGGCGCAAAGTTACTGCCGAGATTGAGGTCTTCCTTCAGCAGCGCATGCTGCACCGACTGTTTCGACGACAGCGTACGACTGGCGCGCGTCACGCGCTTATGCATTTCCGTCGTGGTTTGCGTCTCCATCGATCTCCCACTGTTTTTCTCCTTGTAAAAATCGTTGGTCTGCGTTTGCTTAGATATCCGACGTTTTGGGTTGCAGTGCGGATGATTGTTATTATTGAACTTGGGCGGACTCAGTATCTTTCGGTTTCTCTTGTAATCGTCCGTCTGTACGCCAATGTCTGATGTACTTTTCGCTATAGTGCCAACGTTCTCGCTGTTTTTATCGGATTTGTCTAGACTAGGCAATATCGTCACGGGCTTGTTTATCGTTCCAGTCGGTAGGATGATTCGCATTGTCTTGGAGTTGGTACATCTACAGAGACAAATTCAACCAATCGGTAAATTCTGCCCAACTATACAATTTTATACACACACACACACACAGTGTAAAAAAACCATTTATATAATAGATAGTATACACCATACTGTGTAAAAAGGTCTTAGTAAACATAGATTGAAGACTCAATTATTTCTGAGATATAATTATTATATGTGATCAATATGGTGTGTACTACCTATAATATGAATGTTTTTTTCTTAACACTTTGTGTGTGTAGACATACATACACACACACACACACACACATATATATATAAATAAATTTACCTCAAAGAACCTTTGTATTTCTCTGTTATAGTATGTAAGGATCTCTTTGCATGTGTGAGCAGTGCTTCGTATGTAGTATAAGTTTTCAAGCAGGAGCATGTAAATTCTATACCACAGACTCTCATATGTCCCTCCTTGGCAGCTTCAGTAGAGAAGCTTTTGTTGCAGAGATTGCATGTATAAGTCTTCTCTGCATGTACTTTCAAATAGTGCTAGAAGAAAGAGTAAAGATTATATATATGTATATGTTGTCGATGATGTTTCCAGTGACAGAGCTCGTTTTCATAAACAACCTATATTAAAGAAGGAAATTATATGCTACAAGATGCTCTAATAATGTCTGCAACATCTTAAACGAGAATGTGAAAACAAGTACTCTCATTTTATGGGGATGTCTCACCTGTTTCAAGTACTTCATGGTGCTAAAATATCGCTGAGAATTGATGGCATAGACACAGGATTGCACCGGACAGTGATAACGTACGTTCTCCTTCGCAGTTTTATCTAGGTTTTTACGCTGATGCACCTTGAGATCATGCAGCCGGTAGCGCGGCTGATTCCGAAACACAAGGCCACATTGTTCGCATTTAACACTGTTGACTATCACACTCAGTTCCTCCGGCGAAGGGCATATCGTTTTCTCGCACAACGACGTGCTTACCGTCGACGGTTTCTTCGCCATTGGAGGTTATGTTCGCGCGCTACTCGCCGACAAAACGTCTATCGATATCTGCAAAAGACATCCCATACAATTTCTAACGAGTATATATTCTTTCAAATGACGCGTCTCTCTATTAAGATTTATCAATAATTTCGCAAAACTTGTCACTTCCGACGTGTAAGTAGCCGCAAAGTGACTTTTGTACCGAGGTTGCATTCCAAAACATTTTTTTTTGAGGAAAATTTTAAGTTGCGTTCCGTTTCACGCATTATGCGCGCATTGCCTACAATATACGTGACACGAACTATAGATAAATGCGCGCATATGCGTGAAACGGAACGCGGCCTTACTCAATAACTATAGTTCACGTTACATATACTATAGAGTATGGAGGTAATTTCCTCAAAAATGCGACCCGAGATATTATGATTTAGCGTGAGAATCGTAATCGCATAAAAAAGACAATCTCAACTAGTCGGAATCATATTCTTGTTGATCTTTGATATCTCAAACGATTCATTAATATTTCCGTTTATTTAACCTCATTTTCGTTTTCAATTCAAATTTCAAACGTATCTTTTCAGGTAATTCGAGAATAACCTCGTTGATATTCGATTAACTTCACGACACAGTTCGGACTACGTAACGTGCAGTGAACTGAACCTATACTATGCTCTAAGCGTACGTCGGACATCGGACGCGATGTGAATCCTGCAGAAGAGGTTATGAATATCGTCTCTAAATTCAAACCGTTCAAGCCGATATTTTCAAATCGAATAGTACAACAATAGAAAAAGAGAAAACGATCCCTGGTTACACGACATTTTCCCGAAAAATAGATGGAAAAATAGTGATACTAACAAAATCCCCTAGGCAACAATTCTAATTTCTGCGAATTAGTGACACTATTGAAGTAGCAAGTCCATGAATTTTGCAGAGTCGTTTGACATATGCGTGTGTATGTGTCGAATAACAAACTGTCACTAATCCGCAGAAATTAAAATTGTGTTGCCTAAAGGTTTTTGTCGGTACCAAGATTTTTCCATCTAATTTTCGAGAAAATGTCGTGTAACCCGATCCCTGTTTTCCCTTTTACTCGGCCCGTTTCTTCCCATTTGCCTAATAGAGGATTCACACCGCGTCCGATGTCCGACGTACAACGTCCAATATCCAGTAGGAGAACAGCTTTCCAATGGAGAATTGAATTCTCTATTAGAAAGCTGTTCTCTTATTGGATATCGGACATCGGGCGCGGTGTGAATCCTGTATAAGGCCTGGGAGGCCAGCTTTTCTATGGTATAAAAAAGCTGCGCAACGACGTCTACCGATCCGACAGTTGTCGGTACGCATGTACAGAATAGCACTTCTGGTTGCACCAACATTATTTTGACTTTAAGCGAAACTTAAACATATGTCTATCTTTATCTTTCTTTTTATATAAATAAAGATAGACATATATTTAAGTGTCACTTAAAACCAAAATAACGTTGGTGCAACCGGGCCTGAGCATTCCAGGGCCCCTATTCTTGTAATAGTTGCGTATACGTAAGTTTTACTGCGCAAGTTTAATCATACTATAAAATTGCTGCGCGATTAAAATTACGTATACGCAAAAATTTCAAGAATAGGGGCCCTATATATATATATATATATATATATATATATATATATATATATATATATATATATATATATATATATATATATATATATATATATATATATATATATAGAGTTCCCTAATTATGCGTCACAAATTATTGTTTATCCGTTAAAAATGAGTAATCGCTAATCAGCCGCAACTTTGACAATTCGAAGCGACGTGAATTTATCCAATAGTCGAATTCATCTGTCAGTGTGGCGCTGCTTGTCACGAACAAGTTGTCCTGTGCTAGCCTGATTGGCTGGCTACTTAGTTAACCCGGCTCGATCCGTCTGTTCGGTTGAGTCGATCGACCTTCCTGACCAGCGGCGACGGCGGCGACAGCGAGCAGTTAGTGACTTCTATGCGACCGACAAAAGTCGACCGAATTCGTATACACAAGTCCACGATCGCTAGTGCACGCGTGATCAGTTACGTCCGTTCTCGTACGGTAGTGAAACGGTATAAGATTGTGTCTTAGTTTTTCGAATCGCGTTGGAGCCCGCGCCGGTAGCGAATCATCCTGACGAGTTCGGACACACGAATCGCGGACTGCCTGTCATCTAACGGTAAGATATCTTTATCATCGGCACGTTTCAGGTTTTTCCGCAGCCATCGCACGACAGGTATATGCCTCGTAACCGTGTTATTGATTTTTACCTGGAATAAGGGGGAGTAGGGAGGGAGGGAGGGAGAGGAGAGAGACGCACGTAATCGAAAGCACACACAACACGCACATACCGCGGCCGTGGGCTCTCGTGTCCACCCGCATGTCGTCACTACCAGACCCAGATTATTTAATCGTGTTGTGTCGTCGTTGACAACGTGACCGAGCTCCCTCGAGTATTCGACAGTGCGTCAACAAGAATTGAGGATTGTAGAATTGAGGATATCGGCTGAAAAACTCCATATCAAGCGCGCTATCAACGCGTCATTCTACCTATATCGCTCTTCAGATATACAAGGTTAGAAGCGCTCGCCAAGTAGCGCCGATAATGAGCTTCGAAAAAAACCAATCTAAAATCGCTGCATTGTAACGTTTTCGCGTTTTTCGCGCGGTTGCTCTATAAAAGGTCGAGTTTTTTAATTCATCGATGGATTCATCGCTGAATTAAAAAACTCGCCCAAATTCATCCAAGATTCAAGCGTGATCATTGGATGGTCTAGGAACTTTTAAAAATCAAATTTCGTTCTCGCGCGTAATGCTTCAGAGTTCTTACACAAGAGTCAGAGTTACGATACATGCGACGGTAAAGCCTTGATAGAGCAATCAAACTGACATTCATTCCAGTGATCATCATCTCGGGGTCGTTGTCTTCTTTAAAGAGCGGAACTGTCGCGAACTTGATGTTACGAAACATGTTTCTTTAAAACATTCGATATATCTCGGTCGTCTGTATTTAATTTCAAAATTATGCGTCTAGGCGACAAAAGCGAATCGTAAGCCCCGCGTATTTATCAAGGCGAATCAAATGAGTCGCGACGTAGAACACTGTTATCTAACCGGATTGTTAATGGCTGCATAGAAAGCTGCTTTGCAACTGTTGTAAAATTCGTGAATCTGATTGATACATGCTTTTGGATTGAAGCAAAATTAAGAGCATATTCCAATCAAATTCACGAATTTTACAAGTTTACAGTTGCAAAGAAGCTTTCTCTGCTGAACGCAACCAATCAGCCAATCAGTCAGTCTATCAGCCAGCGGGTACACCAAGTTTGCGGAAAATTCACAAGTCAGGGTTCCCGCAATTCGACAAGGTTGTTTAGTTTTGAATATGAGCTTTGACGATAAAGCAACGAGAGATTGGTCGAAAAGAAAAAGAAAAAAAATATATATACACACGTCGCAGGAGATATTTGTAAGTTTAACTCTTCTGCAAGAATTCCGCTTGTAAAATCTTTAATTAAAAGAAAAAAAAACTTCCGCAAAAGGCTACAATAACAGGGTTCCTAAACGACACGTCAGAACACGAGACGAGCACCGCTAGACAGTGGTATACAGTCTCGAAGGGACTCTACTTCGAAGGTGACCACGTCGAAAATCGATCAATAAAAGGCGTATACGTGTATGTACATGTAATTTTTTCTCTTTTCCTTTCTTTCTTAGACCAATCTCACGTAATCCCTTCCCCCGTCTCCCTCGTCAGATCTCGCAAAACAGACACCGGTTCTAGCAGATTATAGCATCATCACGCGTATATAAAAAATCAAAACTGCGTTTTTATCATTTAGTTTATTGTACACAAAATGTGACGGAAGAGAAGACGATGTGCAGCACCGTTCCCATTTTCCCTGGCGAACCAACCGAACCGGACTAGAGTTGGGAAGACGAAAGGAGAGGAAAGGAGAGAGAGGAGGTCGTGAATCGATAGCGCGCGCGATTTCAGCGTTTCTCAGCTGGTGGTGCTTCTATCCCCTGCATCTTCTCGTCGTTAGCATTTTTCCTTCCTGGTCAGCCAGGAAAACTCCGAGAAAAAACGTGGAAGGAGAGACATTGAGAAGAGCGGTCATCCTCATTCGCGATGAGAGACACCGGCAACCAGGCCAAGTACGAGCAGCTCTTGGACGACGCCGGTCTCGAAATCCGCAACGAGGACAAAGAGCGCAACGACGACGAGAATGCGACACTAGAGGAGGTGAGTGATCAAAAGTTGATCAAGATATTTCGACGCGAATTAAAAAGAAGACAGTATTATTTCCGGACTAAATAGCCGAGATCCATATCTTTAGAAATTGGGGATATCACGTTAAAAAAGATTACACGGAAACAAAATGTCAGTTAGGGTAACTGATTTCTAGAACCAGACGAGAAACTCGTTAAGAAATATCTTCGTTACTGTGACTAAAAAAAATCCGTCCGAACATTCAGCTGCATTAAAACTCGATTGAGATAACTGAAAGCAATTGAGTAGAAACCTCCTATAGAAATCTTTCTGCTTCTACAACCAAATTTTTCATCTATGTCCTCAAGTAACAAAAAATTCAGTTACACTAACAAAGTTCTTTCTTTTGTGTACAAAGAGAGAGAGAGAGAGAGAGAGAGAGAGAGAGAGAGAGAGAAATTATGTGTGTGTGTGTGTGTATATGTCCTCTTAATTCCCAATAAGCTCGCAATAAGTTTTGTTTTTTTTTAAATATACATTGAAAGCAACTTAGTTCTTCCGTTGACATTATATTCGTACAACATCGAATATTGAGCAAATAGAATATCGAGTACAGTATAAAGAGAAGTAGTACGGCTAATATTGTCGGGGGTCAAAGGGTTCTTCGCCAAACGTATGTCCGATTGTTTTGATATCGATCGAATGGTTCGTTAACACACGCCAGCGCGAGCATCGAGCACGGGAAAATTCTCTGATGTAGCAAGTAATACATGTACTTACTCGAAGACATGTACAGCGTTTCCGAGGTAATCCAGATATTCGACTTGTTATCGTATCGATCAAAGATTCTAAAAAATATCACCGATATTCACAGCCGAATTTGCATCATAAATTAAACGAACAACAAGACTCCATAATCCCCTTAATAAATTACGTGTTATATTTCATCAAAAAATTCAATTCTGTATGCTTAACTTATTCTCGATTCAAACGCTCCAAATTGCTTATGCTATCGCGAGGTGAGGCAAAGGCTCCATTTTTACAATACAGCGTTAAATGCATAGTCGACATCGGCTATATATATTTACCCATCGACCATTCGATTGGAATGCAAAGCCAGACTCAAGCGGATAATTATAAATTTCCAGATAGCATAACGAATTCTTAAAATATTTTTAAAGTTTTCTCTTTTCCTGAATTGCAATCCTCTAAGAATTGAAATTAAAAAGAATACTATAAAAATAATTCAGGAAGTTACACGACTGAAATTCCTGAGAACCCCTTGAAGTATTCATATAGACCAATATTTAAGAACAGAGAGAGAACTACAAAATACCCAACAAATATCATCTACCAGCAACATTATACCGATATTCTGATTCTTCACTCATAAGCAAATATTGAAATAACCCGAAAATGCTAATATTTTATAAAAAAAAAAAAAAAAATACTGGCATCTGAAGTTTGCGAATATTTTGTACACGTTCGTGCCCCACCGTGGTCCCGAGCGATTGTCGGCAGGTCACCACCCATTATCCGCGTCTCTCAGCAGCCGCGGTCAGCATTGCTTGACCGAAAATCGCGCGGCAGGCAACTATCCTAATGACTCTAATGATATTCTTGGAATTTACGCTTATACAGGATATATCTCAGACTCTTCTCTGCAATTCTTATGAAAACGTAGAACGAATTGAGGTGAACATAAAAGTTTTATACCATTTTGCGATATTTGCAATAATAATTGAAATATTAATTAAAAAAGATTAGTGAATGATTATGCGCGATATGATAGATGAGCCGTATATAAGCGATAATGCAACAAATCTTCTTTAATTAATATCTAAAAATCTATGTAGTCATTCGCAAAATATTAAAGGATTTTTTGCTCAGTTTGACTTAATGTATAAGTATACAACGAAAGACAGCATCACTACAGCTCATATCTATTATTCATTAAAATTTTTTAATTAACATTTCGACTATTATTGCGAATATCGCAAAACGGTATAGGACTTTTATGTTCACCTCAATCCTTTTACATTTCCACAACAATTGCAGAAGAGAGTTTGGGACACCCTGTATAATAGCAATATTATATGTTCGCAATGGTTACATTGTTGAGTGGAGAATTACAATATTGACATAATATTGTTGTTATTTGGTGTTTACCGAGTAACATTTTCCTGGTGAAATAATAAAAATTATTAAAATATAATCAGTCGCTTAAAAAAAAAAAGGAATCCAAAATTAAAGATAGGTTATATAAAATAAATAAGAATCGCGATTATATTCTAAAATTACGAACTAGCAATTTATAGAAATATGAAGCTGGTTATACTCACTTGTACTCATAATTCAATAGAATGTCAAAGGTTTCGCTTTTCTCTCTATTATATCGAGATGTTTATTTACGAAGAAATTTCTAATTATGCTACAACCCAACAAGTAACAGTTACATAATTGTTAATTATATTTTCCCACTCAACAATGTAAATGCAGTATAACGCTGATGTAAACGCGTATATTATATAACAGTTATATTATTATGTGGGAAATTATTACTAATAATTATGTAACTGTTACTTGGTGTTTACTAGGAGTAAACCCAAAATATTAAAAGCATTTGCTAATCATAGTGAAGTGAGGAAGTAATTGTAACAAATAAAGCATATTTATAATTCTACAATTAATCCCTCATAAATTCTCAGAATACTCAAAATACTTAATCGTGAAATATTCGTTATAATGAACTTTTCAAGATAATACTTCAAGACGATCTGATTGTAGTTGATTCGTCAAGAATTCTGCAGACATTCATTTTTCTAATCATTTAGGTATTCTTTAAAATAAATTCTCTATGAACTTATATTCATATCTGTGCTATCTGGGAATGAACAGACAGAAATCATATAGACCGTGGCATACATTGCCTACGTAAGTGAAACTCACGCATTATAACGTGCAAGGACGTGTAAACGAGAGCGTTACTGACAGATCGTGAACAGCAACGGCGACTGCCTAACGACACAAAGTATCATAATCACCTGTCCGATTATGATGTATTTCAACCTATTGGCCTATCTTTTAAAAACCCGTTCCTATGTGTATCGTGTAGCGCGAGTTGAGAACCGCTGATGTTCAGGATTTTCGAACACACTCGTCTTCACTAGTTAAGTTGCACTTTGTTTTCCTTTCCTCTTATTTTTCCCAAGTATGGATACATGATTTTGTTCTATTTTTAATGCGAAAACCACCAAAAAATACGATTAAATTCGCGCGCGTGCACACGCGCCACACACACACACACACACACACACACACACACACACACACGTACGCAACACGCACGCACGGACCCCGCGCGATATCGTGCTACCGCATGATTGAATTTGCGGGAAACTACGTCGACTATGAAGAATTTAATCAAATCGAGTCACATGCTTCTTTTCCTTTCTTCTGCGTTTATATATATATACATACGCCTATTTCTGGCGCGCAATATATCTCGCGATTGTTTCGCACGCAAATGTGTACGCGGCTTAAAAACGAGACCGGCTAGCCATCTTTAAAACCGCGCGGTTGACATGCCGTTGTCAACACGAAGGGATTTCGAGCGATAGTTTATCGATTCGGCGTCGTACTTGATGCGTATATAGTACATGTATACATACAGAGTGCTCTGTGAATTTCTTTCTTCCTCATGTGGCATGTACGGTTCTCGGTAATTTCCTCTGTAGTTTCGTGTAGACTATGACTGTGATACATTCATATTCGATACTGCTCATTTAGAAGTGATAAATTGGTTGCTTTTTTCTCAATCGCTCGTTGCATGAGGTTAGTATTCAACAAGAACGTACAGTTTTTGAGACTTGTTATTTCATTTCGCCATGTGTGTCCTCGAATCACGGTCAAATTATCGGTCTGCCATCCTAGCCGATGTCGTTGAGCTCTTCTTGTAGCGTACGGTTTTGATCGGCATTTTGCGGCGTATCGGAAAATCGTGTGATATTCTTCAAGCACAGTTACATCAGTGAGATCATATGTGACGCTAATTTAATGTTATTGATGGCACCGCGAGAGATAACAAAACATGGCGCGTGCGCGCGAATGTGTATACATATAAAATTAATAACAAAGGATTTTCTGCTCAATTTTAATCGTAAAATTGTCTTTATATTGCTCAACTTCTCTTTTGCTTCGAATTTATCATGAGTTCAGTTTTAATTGCATGTTCATTATTTAAATTCAAATAAGTTTATATTGAAGCTCAAGGATGGATAAGAGAGAGGTAAAAAAAAAAGTACAATTAAGACAACAATTATTATGAAATGGTTACTTGATTTCTAAGCTTTGCTTCTACATGTGTTTCAGACTAATGTAGAATCTCTGCTTTTAATGTATGATATTGTTTACTGATAATAGTCAACAAATAGTAAAGTATATCGCAATATCATTTTAGGACAAAGAACACAGCTCCAAGATGTGGTTGACAACTGCGGAATCAGCTAGTCTTGGGGCTGAGGAAGTAGCAGCCAGATTGCACATTGATGTTCGAACAGGGCTTAGGTGGCAAGAGGCTGACCATAGAAGGCAATTGACTGGCTTTAATGAGTTCACTGTCAAGGAGGAAGACTCACCGTGGAAAAAATATATCGAACAAGTATGTGCCTTATGTTTGGTTTGCATTATTTGTTTAGGTATATGCAATTTCAGAAAGAGCAATTTATAATAGATATAAGGAAAGCAATTATATAAGAGATACAAAGACAGCAATTATAAGATATAATTTGGATAAGTTTATGTGTAATTATCTTATATATATATATATATATATATATATATATATATATATATTATGTGTATTATTTTAGTTTAAAAACCCATTGATCCTTCTTCTACTTGCCTCTGCATTTGTCAGTGTGTGCATGAAGCAATTTGATGATGCTGTCAGTATTACTGTGGTAAGTACACATATTAAGCATCCACAGATTCTAAGAATTTTGGCAGGCATCACCTAACCATTGCTTATGTTTGTGATATATATATATATATATATATATATATATATATTATGTGTATTATTTTAGTTTAAAAACCCATTGATCCTTCTTCTACTTGCCTCTGCATTTGTCAGTGTGTGCATGAAGCAATTTGATGATGCTGTCAGTATTACTGTGGTAAGTACACATATTAAGCATCCACAGATTCTAAGAATTTTGGCAGGCATCACCTAACCATTGCTTATGTTTGTGATATATATATATATATATATATATATATATATATTATGTGTATTATTTTAGTTTAAAAACCCATTGATCCTTCTTCTACTTGCCTCTGCATTTGTCAGTGTGTGCATGAAGCAATTTGATGATGCTGTCAGTATTACTGTGGTAAGTACACATATTAAGCATCCACAGATTCTAAGAATTTTGGCAGGCATCACCTAACCATTGCTTATGTTTGTGATATATATATATATATATATATATATATATATATTATGTGTATTATTTTAGTTTAAAAACCCATTGATCCTTCTTCTACTTGCCTCTGCATTTGTCAGTGTGTGCATGAAGCAATTTGATGATGCTGTCAGTATTACTGTGGTAAGTACACATATTAAGCATCCACAGATTCTAAGAATTTTGGCAGGCATCACCTAACCATTGCTTATGTTTGTGATATATATATATATATATATATATATATATATATTATGTGTATTATTTTAGTTTAAAAACCCATTGATCCTTCTTCTACTTGCCTCTGCATTTGTCAGTGTGTGCATGAAGCAATTTGATGATGCTGTCAGTATTACTGTGGTAAGTACACATATTAAGCATCCACAGATTCTAAGAATTTTGGCAGGCATCACCTAACCATTGCTTATGTTTGTGATATATATATATATATATATATATATATATATATTATGTGTATTATTTTAGTTTAAAAACCCATTGATCCTTCTTCTACTTGCCTCTGCATTTGTCAGTGTGTGCATGAAGCAATTTGATGATGCTGTCAGTATTACTGTGGTAAGTACACATATTAAGCATCCACAGATTCTAAGAATTTTGGCAGGCATCACCTAACCATTGCTTATGTTTGTGATATATATATATATATATATATATATATATATATTATGTGTATTATTTTAGTTTAAAAACCCATTGATCCTTCTTCTACTTGCCTCTGCATTTGTCAGTGTGTGCATGAAGCAATTTGATGATGCTGTCAGTATTACTGTGGTAAGTACACATATTAAGCATCCACAGATTCTAAGAATTTTGGCAGGCATCACCTAACCATTGCTTATGTTTGTGATATATATATATATATATATATATATATATATATTATGTGTATTATTTTAGTTTAAAAACCCATTGATCCTTCTTCTACTTGCCTCTGCATTTGTCAGTGTGTGCATGAAGCAATTTGATGATGCTGTCAGTATTACTGTGGTAAGTACACATATTAAGCATCCACAGATTCTAAGAATTTTGGCAGGCATCACCTAACCATTGCTTATGTTTGTGATATATATATATATATATATATATATATATATATTATGTGTATTATTTTAGTTTAAAAACCCATTGATCCTTCTTCTACTTGCCTCTGCATTTGTCAGTGTGTGCATGAAGCAATTTGATGATGCTGTCAGTATTACTGTGGTAAGTACACATATTAAGCATCCACAGATTCTAAGAATTTTGGCAGGCATCACCTAACCATTGCTTATGTTTGTGATATATATATATATATATATATATATATATATATTATGTGTATTATTTTAGTTTAAAAACCCATTGATCCTTCTTCTACTTGCCTCTGCATTTGTCAGTGTGTGCATGAAGCAATTTGATGATGCTGTCAGTATTACTGTGGTAAGTACACATATTAAGCATCCACAGATTCTAAGAATTTTGGCAGGCATCACCTAACCATTGCTTATGTTTGTGATATATATATATATATATATATATATATATATATTATGTGTATTATTTTAGTTTAAAAACCCATTGATCCTTCTTCTACTTGCCTCTGCATTTGTCAGTGTGTGCATGAAGCAATTTGATGATGCTGTCAGTATTACTGTGGTAAGTACACATATTAAGCATCCACAGATTCTAAGAATTTTGGCAGGCATCACCTAACCATTGCTTATGTTTGTGATATATATATATATATATATATATATATATATATTATGTGTATTATTTTAGTTTAAAAACCCATTGATCCTTCTTCTACTTGCCTCTGCATTTGTCAGTGTGTGCATGAAGCAATTTGATGATGCTGTCAGTATTACTGTGGTAAGTACACATATTAAGCATCCACAGATTCTAAGAATTTTGGCAGGCATCACCTAACCATTGCTTATGTTTGTGATATATATATATATATATATATATATATATATATTATGTGTATTATTTTAGTTTAAAAACCCATTGATCCTTCTTCTACTTGCCTCTGCATTTGTCAGTGTGTGCATGAAGCAATTTGATGATGCTGTCAGTATTACTGTGGTAAGTACACATATTAAGCATCCACAGATTCTAAGAATTTTGGCAGGCATCACCTAACCATTGCTTATGTTTGTGATATATATATATATATATATATATATATATATATTATGTGTATTATTTTAGTTTAAAAACCCATTGATCCTTCTTCTACTTGCCTCTGCATTTGTCAGTGTGTGCATGAAGCAATTTGATGATGCTGTCAGTATTACTGTGGTAAGTACACATATTAAGCATCCACAGATTCTAAGAATTTTGGCAGGCATCACCTAACCATTGCTTATGTTTGTGATATATATATATATATATATATATATATATATATTATGTGTATTATTTTAGTTTAAAAACCCATTGATCCTTCTTCTACTTGCCTCTGCATTTGTCAGTGTGTGCATGAAGCAATTTGATGATGCTGTCAGTATTACTGTGGTAAGTACACATATTAAGCATCCACAGATTCTAAGAATTTTGGCAGGCATCACCTAACCATTGCTTATGTTTGTGATATATATATATATATATATATATATATATATATTATGTGTATTATTTTAGTTTAAAAACCCATTGATCCTTCTTCTACTTGCCTCTGCATTTGTCAGTGTGTGCATGAAGCAATTTGATGATGCTGTCAGTATTACTGTGGTAAGTACACATATTAAGCATCCACAGATTCTAAGAATTTTGGCAGGCATCACCTAACCATTGCTTATGTTTGTGATATATATATATATATATATATATATATATATATATGTGTGTGTTTATATATATTATATATATATATATATATTATATATATATTCCTTTGTAGGCTATCATAATAGTGGTGACAGTTGCATTTGTACAAGAATACCGATCGGAGAAATCTTTAGAGGAATTGAATAAATTGGTACCACCAATATGTCACTGGTAAATAGATTTGTGCTTTTTTGCTAGATGCTTTATTAATCATAATTTAGAGAGTGCACAATGATAATGAGAGAATATTGGTCTTGTAATAATTTGTCTTCACCTTTGAAGCAGAGCATGCACCTAAAATCATATATCCTTTAGAAGTATGGTTCTCGGAGGATATACTAACCCTTTTAAACGGAGCATTCCTTTATCTTGTTAATGAAGAAGATATAATATGCCATTGTACAAACTGTATATAAATCGTATGAAGGTGAAGTTTATTTCCATATAAAATCTCAAAGAGTTCTGTACTTTAAGAGCAATCTCAGTTGTCGATAAAATTAAACGAGAACAATCTCTCCAATATTTACAACGTTAAAAAGCACTTTTCTATACATATATATATATATATATATATATATATATATATATATATATATATATATACATATATATATATATAATGTATGTGTGTATGTATGTATATATATATATACACATACGTATATGGATATATATATATATATATATATATATAGAGAGAGAGAGAGAGAGAGTGCAAGCTTTGCATTTTGTTCTCTGTGGCTCTGAATGTTCCTAATAAAATCACTCCAAATCATTCGATCGTATTGAAGCAATTTTACATTATTCTATCGTAATACTTTGTTCGCAGCTTGAGAGAGGGCCGCTTAGAGACATTTCTCGCGCGTAATTTAGTTCCTGGTGATATTGTGTATTTAAATATTGGAGACAGAGTACCTGCCGATATTCGGATATTCGAGGCCATAGATTTAGCGATTGATGAGAGCAGCTTTACCGGAGAAACCGAGCCGGCACAAAAGTCAACGGCACCTCTGCTGAAAACCAACGGGCTAACGTCCAAAAGAAACATCGCCTTCATGGGCACTCTGGTACGCTGCGGTAACGGCAAGGTACGTAAACTGTTCAAGTCCAAATTCTCTCTTGGGAGTGATTGCGCTCTACCATCAACTTATGTTACGATCGCGCGATACAGGGAATTGTAGTGAATACGGGAGAAAAGAGTGAATTTGGGGAAGTTTTCTCAATGATGCAGGCCGAGGAGGCGCCAAAGACTCCACTACAGCGAAGCATGGACATTTTAGGTACACAGCTGTCTTTCTATTCGTTCTGCATTATCGGTATCATCATGCTGCTGGGATGGATCCAAGGTAAGGCTATCCTTGAGATGTTTACCATTGGTGTAAGTTTGGCGGTAGCCGCCATACCGGAGGGCTTACCTATCGTCGTAACGGTAACACTGGCACTGGGAGTGATGAGAATGGTCAAGAGAAAAGCGATTGTAAAGAAATTGCCAACTGTCGAGACTCTTGGTAAGTCGAAGTACTCAATCTTGGCAAGTAATCTCCATAGCTGCATTGTATCTTCAGCAGGCATTTTACAATGTTTACAATAACTTGCTTCTCGTGTTTACTTTGTGAAATTGCAGCCTGTGTTAAGGTGTAAACATAGTGAGAAGGTTTGCTTTAATCGTAGGCTGTGTTAACGTGATATGCTCTGACAAAACCGGCACAATCACGAAAAACGAAATGACCGCTACGGTTCTTGTAACGTCGGAGGGTTACATTGCCGATGTTACCGGAGCGGGATACAACGATCTGGGCGAAGTGCGAATACGAAAATGCGATAGCGTCGACCTTGCACGTGCCGCTATCAATAATTTGTTAGAAGTAGGTTGCGTGTGCAACAACGCTATCATACAAAACGATACTCTGCTCGGACAACCGACGGAAGGCGCGCTAATAGCTGTGGCCATGAAATTTGGAATGTACGGTGTTGCCGATAGGTATTTGCGATTGCAAGAGTATCCATTTTCTTCGGAGCAAAAAATGATGGCTGTGAAATGCACACCAAAGCTTGGTGAGGTATGATTATTCGAGTGCGTTGTGTGCGTCGAGATTTTATCTTATACTGTTTTCATTGTAACACCATTTTTGGCACCATTTTTACCAAGTAAATCATATAAACTGTCCTTTTTTAAAACGGTTTATCGTAGGATAACATTATTATCACCACACGTAAATACTCTACCACTAATTTACGATCCTATATTTCAGAACAGACAGGAAATCTACTTTGTGAAAGGTGCACTGGAGAAGATTCTGCCACAGTGCACTAAATATTACGAAAACGGTCAGGTATACCCTCTTAGTCAGAAAAAGGATCAGGAATTTTTAACGGAAGCGTATGATATCGGTCAACAAGGACTGAGAGGTAGTAACATTGTCCTCTTTCATAGAAAGCAAGAAATTGCCACAAATCATAGATTTATATCTCGATCGCATTTATATACATAATCTGTGATGTTGCAGTAATCGGTCTGGCACGTGGCTCTTCATTGCAAGATCTGATTTATGTAGGTTTAGTCGGTATCTGCGATCCACCGAGACCGTACGTGCGCGAATCCATCAGTATTCTGATAAACAGCGGTGTTAAAGTGAAAATGGTTACGGGGGATGCAAAGGAGACCGCAGCTGCAATAGGTACATATAAAATATCGCGAATGCTTCGATGAATTTGAGAGTCAGTCTTGAAAAAAGTATCGAGGCATATGTTGTAATCTACGAGTTACGTTTTCCTTTTTTCTCTTTCGGGCATTTTTCAGCCAGCATGATCGGACTAGACACGCTTCACAATCGGTTGTTGTCGGGAGATGAAATTGATATGATGTCCGAACACCAGTTGGAACAGTGTATCAATAACGTCAGCGTATTCTATCGCGTGACGCCGAAACATAAACTTTGTATCGTGAAAGCTCTACAGAGGAACGGCAATATAGTGGGTATGACTGGTGACGGTGTAAACGACGGAGTTGCGTTGAAGAAAGCGGACATTGGTATCGCCATGGGAAAAAACGGCACCGACGTATGCAAGGAAGCAGCTGACATGATTTTAGTCGACGACGATTTCGGTACAATCATGTGAGTACATTATTTTCGGATAATATTACAATGCATCGGAATAGGTTAGAGACAATTACAATTCTTCGGTGCTTTTATTTACAATAATTTTCTAATACTTCTTTATCAGTTAATCGATTACGTCTCTGCGATGATTTTTATTACTTTTTTTTCTTCCTTTCAGCGCGGCGATCGAGGAAGGAAAAGGAATATTTCACAACATCCGTAACTTTGTGAGATTTCAATTAAGCACCAGCATCGCTGCGCTCTCTTTAATAGCTCTCGCGACATTAATGAGCATACCGAATCCGCTAAATGCGATGCAAATACTATGGATTAATATCATTATGGACGGTCCACCCGCTCAAAGGTTGAATATTGTTCGCAATTTCGTCGTTTCGCTGAATATTCATTACACACAATTTTTACTTTTCTCGCGCAGCCTTGGAGTAGAACCAGTCGACAAGGATGTTCTAAAGCAGAAGCCACGAAATACAAAGGAACCGATGATCACGCGTCATCTCATAATTAACGTTTTATTGTCAGCTATTATAATTATTCTCGGCACGTTATGGGTATACAATAAAGAGGTAAAAGGTTTTTTCCAACAAAAAAATGCATATAATATATGAGATCAAACCACCACAGAAATTAAAGTAACTCATGAAATGCCTTATTTATCTTATTTGACGCGCTTTCAGATGGTTAACGGAAATACTGCAAGAGACACCACCATGACATTCACCTGCTTTGTATTCTTCGACATGTTTAATGCGCTTAGCTGTAGATCACAGGTGAGATAACGCATTTCCATTTCCGATCTCTATCGATGATATCAAAATAAAGAATTACAATAGTTAAACAGTGATCCTCAATTTATTTTAGACAAAATCCATATTTACAATCGGTCTATGGAGCAACAAAATGTTCCTGATAGCAGTGACGCTATCTGTCATCGGGCAAATGTTCGTCATCTATTTTCCTCCGTTGCAGAGAATATTTCAAACCGAAGCTCTCACGGCAAAAGGTAATGATATATACGCTAATTATACGGCGCATACGAACGATATTCGATATCGTGTAGCGAATCTTTGTGTCCCTTTCCCCTCCCTTCTGTTTGTCTTGAACGACAATCTGCTTTCAGATCTCTTATTCTTGGCGGCGTTGACGTCGAGTGTCTTCGTAATCAGCGAATTCAAGAAATTTTTGGAGAGACAGCTCCAGAAGCGTCGCAATGTTAACAACGGCCAATATTACAACAAATTCGAAATGGACTTTGTATGACAGTTACAGTCTGCCGAGAACAAGACGGCGGACAAAAATCATAACGAATAAGTATCGGGCATCGATACCGCTTGCTCGCGGCGCGGTCGTTCGTTCGTTAATCAACATAACTTCGCGTTAAAACTCGACTATGCTTGCACCATTCGTAATCTCACGTGTTACGCATCTATCACACGAGAGTAATAATAGCGACACTTGTGTACGTATTGATTCGCAGTGACTGCGATTTTTTCTTTTTTACCGTTTGCAAATTGCCCGACTCTATTTTCCGGCATATCGTACAAAATATATCGTTCCGACAAAACGATGTGGTAGGTTATGTAGACTGTAGCTATTTAGACTATATTTCACTATTGGTCCCTACATTGAACTCTGTTCTAATTGGCACAAGGACCGCGATCGATCACCTTCGTTAAGGTATACTAATAGTGCACGGTGAACCAGATATACGTTCTCCGTGACATATAATTAACTTGTAGAAAAGTCGTGTAGATAGTACTTTATGCGAGTATATTGTGTGCAAACTTTATACAGTTCCCATCGAAATTTCCAGTTACATTAGCTGTTCATAGCTGATCTAATTGTTCACTGGTTTTCTATTGTTATTCTTTCACCAAGTGTAACATGGCGCAGTTGAAGGAGCACTTACACTACACACGCTCGACAAGCTGTACGCTAACATAGGCTTGAAACGGAAGAAATAAACAGTTGCAGACAAATGTTTCTTTTGAGTGGCGTCACATAATTTGTGAACAATATTAACGGCCTTATGTCGTAAAAATTCTCGTTCCCTTTGGATCATAAAGATTGAGCAAGCTTAAAATTTGAAGAGGACGAATTAAAAAATTATATTATTAGAGAATGTCCTCGTAGTGACAAATACTCACTGAAAAGATGGAAGAAGAATTCGGGAATAGCTGCGATAGCTGCGAGCATTTCAATTAGAATAGAGTTCACTGTGTCACACTATGATGAGAAAACTACGAATCACCGTCATAGATGATAGCGGCGCTACTGCACATTCCACGCACGTTTGATAGATCGACGACTTTTAACGATATATTCCGTATCTATGATATAGTCGTAGACTGCAATCCGAAGCAACGTTTGCACCGAACCATCGTAATCATTCTTGTCTAATACTTTTTTCTAAAGATACTGCGACGGTTTGTATGTAAAACCTACTTAGCGGGAAGAGAGAGAGAGAGAGAAAGAGAGAAAAGCGAGAAAAGCGTCAATATTCCGCCAACGGCGGAGTTTATCATTCACTGTCGGTCAATTCGTGTTAGAAAAGAGAGAAGAAAGGGAGGGAGGGAGATAAAAAGGGGACGGGAGAGAGCGAATCATGCAGCATTTTACCGAGTATATAAAAAGACAGAAGAGAGACGAACATAATTCAAGCCGGACATACAAAGCGATTGCATTTAACAAGTACAGTTGTAATCGGCGAAAAATAAATGCTCTTACAATGTTCCTTAATTCTATGTTTGCGAAACGACGTATACTTTCGACGGCAATGCGCATCACGTTCAAACAAATTGGTCGTTTTGGGTAACGTAATTCGCAATTAAATCAACATAATTCGATTGTCGTCGAAAAGATACTCGTGTGTTGTGTTATTATATAGGCCTACACGTATCGAAGAAAATCATAGATGAGATAACTGCACACTTTTAAGTATCTTTGTTCGCACAAATTGTCTGTCGTTAACGACGCAATTGCATCACCGCGCCGTGTGAATATTATTAATGATAATTAATCGTTAATGTTACTTTAAAATATATTTGACGGAATTGACTACAACAGGTTTAGTCGACGATCAAAATTTGCAGTTATTCATTTAGCGATATGTATTAATATATCGATAGTTCTTGTAACTTACAGTTTGATCTCTTTTAGATGATTCATCTCGTGAGACGCAGGTTAACATCAACTACTTACACTCTATACTTGCAGATTTTATACTCTCTCTCGTGTGCATCGCATGCTTGCGACTATTTATATACAATTTTCAAACGTAATACTTGAAAACGAGTCGCCATGTTTTTATCAATGAATTCCCTCGAGCGCACTATAAACTTTATATTGATACAATTCGGGCCCCCCATATCCGTACAGCAACTTTCCCCTGCCATTCTCATCGTAATACGGGTAGCGATATTTCGGCCTGGAAGCACAAAGATGATTAACGATACTATTTATAGCAGTAACTTTTTTTCTTGAGGTCGCGTCGTGCAGTGTAAAATTACACGTATGTTTCGTGTGGCATATTTGCTCACTTTCACTAGCATGTCTTATGAGAGAGAGAGAGAGAGAGAGAGACCAAAAGTACAATTACTTCTCTCCGTTATAATATTTGAACATTACGATATATTTCGGGATACATCCGAAATACATACGTGTGTGTGTGTGTGTGTGTGTGTGTGTGTGCGCGCGCGTGCGTGCGTGTGTGTGTGTGTGTGTTAACAATGTAAATATTATTTACAGAGACACTTGTCTCATTCACTCACCGTTCGAAATATTGAAAATTCGGTGCTTTAGGTTCTGGAATCGTAGCTGCACTTCCGTTGATTAAAGGGAGGAAGAGAGCAGTGAACGTAATCAAAGCGATCACAGTTAGCAACTGTAAATAGGTGAACATATTTCGTCTAGACCACCGAGTTAAGAAAAAAAAGTCTATTTCATGTTTTATCTGTGACGTCTCTCGGTTCAGAAGTTGCAATGTGGATTGAAACGTATCGATTGCATTGGAAAGTCACGCTCGACGAACGATAGCTATCAACTTTTTGCCAAAGACATCGACTCTAAATCACCATTCAAAAGGAGATGTGTTTTCACTTTACAATTCCTGTGTCGTCTTGTTTTACTTACAGAAGCAGAACTCGCCATGGTAGATGATTGGAAATTGGGCGCATTCGATCGATCGCAATAAAACTTTGGATTAGTGTCGCGAGATACGAAGAGACGTTTTCTCGAAGGAAGATTTACGCGCATGTGAGTCGAAATAATTTTAATTAATCTGATAGTAGAAGCGCGGTTGCTGCTACCTGACGTGCCAGATCCGCGTCGCAACTCATTCTGACCTTATTCGCTCCCCTACTACCTCGTTCTTCCTTAGACATTGTAAAGTGAAAGTCCCCTGAACTTCTCAGCTTTTTCTCGACATATTGCGCAGATCGCATCGTAATATCAATAAATATGTCTTGCTTTTCACTTTGTTGAAAACGCCCGTGTTAAAGTGGAAGAGCCACGGAAAGAATAAAAGAAAACGATGAAATTTTTCGTCGTCTTTGATTACGCCAACCAATTCAACTAAACCTTGATCATTGACAAAATCAAGATGTATCATTGAAATTCGTTTTATTTAATTTTTTTATCTTTTATTACAAATATTTTATATTTACATTCGGTTCGAAAAGGATTGCTGGATTGTTGGTTTAATTGCGAACTTGGCGTAACAATTAATCTCGAAATTGATTCTACTTTGAGGTATATTTGAGTGTCGGCGGCAATCGAGAATGGATTTTCACATTTAAGAAATCGCATTTGATCAATGGTAGCATCCCATAAATATTTAATTCATCCCAACAAAATTGTTCAATTCAATCCACGGGTTTCCCCCATGGTCCTTTGTACCCGATACCCATTCCGATCTTTGCTATCGCAATCTCTCCGAAACGTCCGTTTTCCTGCTGGTACCTGACCCTCCTCTGTTTACCGATTTCCGGGTCGAAATCCCACTCTGTTTTCTGTGCGGAAGAGAAGTGCGTTGATGAGTCAACGTAGACAGATAAGCAAGTAAAATTGCACCGCGCGGGTTTACCTGATGCGTAACGGGCGCGCCAGCGATATTATATTGAATGAGATCGTGTACAAGTCTGAAAATTGGCTCCGCGGTCGACATGATCATTTCGCCGTGGAGTAACAATGTTGCCAACAAAACTGCAATCTACAACAGAATGTGCAAAGAGTGATATCTCTTGAATTTTATTCAACTCTGAATTTCTTTTACGGGACGCTGACTGACGTAGAATAGACACAACAAACATAAAACGGCGGAAGGATACTCATCTCTGTCTCTATTTTTCGGAGAACACAGCATCACCCGAGGGGGCATGTGCTTGTACTCTATAATTATAAATTAGCGAGATATCTCCTCGGTGAGATATCTCGTTACTATGAAATATTGCGTCTCGATGTCGCGGAACTATTTATACTTATGTACCAATAACTGATTGTGACCCATGACTCGTCCGGACGTGACTGCGATCGCTCGTAATCCAGCAATAGTATCGTCACCGACGTAGAATGACAACTACCCTGTCATGCTTACTTCCAACACGCTTATACCGGTGCGAACGCACGAACATATACTACGCGACCTGTCGCAACATACTGGTAGTGAAAGTAAAAAATTCCGACAGCGCGTAATGACGTATACGATTTCGAAAAAGCGCGCGTCGCTGGATCGTCCCATGAATAACAATCCGTCGTTTATCACGCTCGATTTCCCTGCTGGAATTCTTATTCGAATCACGATAAACAGTATATGTGGATTGAGAGAGGACAGCACGAGGGCATAAAAGCCACGCTATGTCGCCGGGTGTTATTTCCTCGCGATGAGTACGACTCGAACGACGCGCATTAACAAAGTGCTTCTAACGATCGTCCTTTGCGCGGTAAGTGACCCAGGTTGATGTGAGATACGAGTCAATCTGCTTCGAGAACTCCCACTCGTGCGAAGGTCTTTATCGAGCGATCTGCAAAGGTCATTATTGCGCAACAGTGCTCAAATCATAACTCATGCGGTATGAATTTCCGTGGAAAATCTAAGGACTTTGCTCGCCGACATTAAGATTAAGCTATTCTTTGTCATGTAAAACGTCTAAAACGTCGACTGATATATTCCGTTGATGATAACAAAGGCACTTTTGTCTAGACCGGCACATGGTGCACCAACGACGTCACGTTGACGCGAAATGCTCGGACAATCGGCTCGTCGTCGTCGTCGTCGTCGTCGTTCTTCGCATGGCCGCAAGTATTTCGGAACCTTTGGGCCAATCGAACTAAACTGTGGGAATGGTCCAAAAGCGGCGCTTCAAATCTCGCACGTTTCACAAGTAGCTCGAAGACGCCGATGCGCATCGAGTTCAGACCTGAGGACGGGAAACGCGCGGCGGTAATTTATCAGCGGCAATACGGATACCGCGGCGAGTGGCTTGTCGAACAACTGGGAAACGGTCTTGGTCCCGGTCTAACATCGTTGCATAGCCAACCTGTGCCCAACATTTTCCTGACGCCGCCTTTACCATCCTTCCACATGCGGTAGTCATCTCTTTCGATTCATGCTAAACTCACCGGATCATTCGTGGTCGATTGATTTTTTCTTCCCTCCATTGTTCCATCTCAACAGTTACAAATTCAGGCTGTAATTCAGGGAGGAAAAAAAAGATCAGACACGAATGACTCGGTGATGTGACTCGGATGTGGGTAAAAGTCGACGACAAATACTTATTAGCTTCGTAATTTGGTAAGAGTAGCATCAACGCGCTTTTAAAGGCAGGACCAATCCTCGAGTACAAAACTGCAACTGCAGAAAAAGTGTTTAGTCATTTATTCCGTTTGTACAAGCCGAGAGATCGTTTGTTGGACAACGGCATATACTTTTATGTTACGCGCATACGAAGACAGATATAAAATATATTCAAAGTTATGAAAAATCGTTATATATGTACGGTGGTGACGTGAAAAGTCCCACATGAAGAGCCCATAGAAGTATTCACAGCGACCATATTTTCACGTAGTCTACTTGGAGCGCCGTTTTTGTCTGCCATGTTGGGTACCAGTGATCCTTTGCACGATAGAAGTTGTACATCGCCTGTAGAGCACAATAAAACATGATATTCGACGAGAACATGTCTCGAGGAGGAAATCAAATGTCAAATCGAGAGATAACGCACCTTCGCCTCAACATTTCGCCATGGCTTGACGTAACCACTACTGATCGAATGATCCGCGAATTCGTGAATGCCACCCACACCTACGCCCAAGGTCAAGTACGACTGCAAGACAAGATTCGACGATCAAGATCATTGGAGGAAAGGATCAAAAATTACGGCTTAGACTAAAATTAGCGATCATTCCAGAACAAGATAATAAGAATCACACCCAATGCATAATAATAAATATCAATTTTTTCTCGTGATCATTTATGCTATTTATGAAAATATTTATTACGAAATAAGCTGCCCGCTAGACAGGAATAAGTCATTATCACTGAGCTTGAACACATTACGTCAGAGAGACAAAAAATGTGCCGTAAAATGTATATTTTACATACGAAAATAAAGGAAACACAAAAGATAGAGAAGGAGTATGATTTACACACGATTGGACGAGAGAATCTCTGCTACTTTTCAATTCTGCACTCACCCGTTTGCCGAACGTTCCGTCTACGATCTGTTCGCCGTATTGAACACCGTCGACCTTCACGATGATGAGACCGCTCTTCCATTCGATTTCAAAAATATGATAATCATCCGACCAGGATTTACTCGACGGTCTCTTCGGAAGATTCGAGCGACTACTAGTCGGCGCGTCCCTATCGTTCACGGAAGTGATCAATCCACCCGCGCGCAGTATGCGACCGCCGATATTCTTGTTGTCGGTGGTCCTCAGCTCCTCGTTGCCCACCGACGACGCGATCCTAATCTCACGGTACATCTCATGCTCCTGCTCGCTCTCGGAGCTCTTTAGAGTAATAACTATAAGGACCGAAATATATATATATATATATATATATATTCAAAAAATAAATAAAAGAAACGATTAGTGCAGTGATTATTTAGTAGTAATTTTGCAATAGCGGACATTCGTGTACGAATGTTCGCGATAAACTTACCGGGATACACCCAGTCGCCGAGCGGTAACTTAGCTCGTATCTCGACACGCCCGAACAAAAACTCAAATTTGCTCTTCGTATTTAAGCGTCCAGAGACCACAGGCGGCAAGATGTACGCACCGGCAGCTTGGCGCTGACACTCGTCCGTATCAACCTGGCCTGTGCAACTAAAAAAAATAAATATGTGTGTAGGTGTGTGTGTGTGTGTGTGTGTGTGATTATTATATACGTTCTGACTTGTGGATCTAGGAGTATACAGGCTGAAGCGTTTAAATTTCGAATTATTCATAAATTACTCGTATTGTACAGAACATTTCAAACAAAAAAAAATGTGGTTTTAAGGGGAACGTGATCTGTCTTCAGTAGTTTCTGTCGTATAAAAATATTGGAGTAATATCTTTGAAAAGCGAATGCTTCAAGAGATATTTGAAATACAAAAAAATGTTGGAACAAAATGTGAAATATCTCAGGCCTTGGATAATTTCATAAGAGAAATCACGAAATTATATAATTTTTATTTGTAACATTTTTTCATACGAGTAATTTATCGTGAATCAAATTATAAACCATTATACTCTCTTAACTTTGCATTGGTAAATCTAAGCAGTCTTACCGCTCCAGGACCACTCTTCCTTGCGTCACAAAGTTCTTGCCGAATTTGTCGTTAGTTAGGATCGGCTTGATGCGTAACTGTCCATCGCTCACGTCTGTTACATCCTCAGTCATATAGAAGGCAAACTCGTAATTCTATAAATGAAAAAAAAAAAGAATAAAAGAAAACAATGATATAATATGTGATCGTTAATGATACCACGTAATTATTAATTGTCTCCTGACGAAACAATCGCACATACCGGCGGGCCAGCGAAACGTCGATCAAAATTCCAATTTGTGCTGTCAAGATTGTCAAAGTTATCCTCGAACAAGAGCTCACGCGGACAAGCTTGCTGTCGTACGCCATCTTTGGAGAAAAACCACGTAGCCGATTTTGTCGTGCAATTATGCTGAATCCTGTCGGTGACGTGCAGCGTGCCGTCGGAATTGTAAAAATCTAGAAAACGCGGCAGATTTTCTTCGAGAACTTTCTTAACTTTTACAAATTAACGCTAGGATCGACGTAATAATCAGTTCACTAATTTACGTTCCTCAGACGATACTCACCGATAACTCGGTGTGACTGATCAATCAAGTTGTAACCAAGTCCCTGATACACAACGTGGACCCAATAATAAATGATGTCGTCCCTCTTCAACATGGTGTTTCGGTCCTGGTAGGTCCATCGTCCGTTACGAATCTTGAGGATGTCCTTAGCGATATGTCCAGCTTCCAGACCGTCAAAGTCCTCGTTGAACTTTACGTGGAAGGCCACCAGTGTGATTCCTTGCTCGTCTGTACGAAGAAAACGTTAGTTACTTGATCTGTTCTTTTCGGCACTGCACTGCACTGCTGAACTAGTGCAATAGGTTAAAGTGAGAAAATATATACTTGTCTCACTTTAACTTATTGTACCAGTTCAGAGCCCTTATTCTTGAAATGTTGCGAATCGTAAGTTTTACTGCGCAGGTTTAATCATACCATAAAATAGCTGCGCAGTAAAACTTACGTATACGCAAAAATTTCAAGAATAGGGACCCAGCAGTGCAGCTGAAAAGAACAGACCAATTGAAAGAACGATTAGAGCATCCGCACAAGACATCCGTAACATGTTAAGTTTACGGATTTCTTTGTGCGTTGACTTAAGTTTAAGTTTACGTACAGGTATGGCCATTAGGCAGTTTTTGCAAACATACGGTATAGATACGGTAAACGCTAAAATGACGTCATCGAGTCAAAAGACCAAACTGCACATGCGCATCGGTCACCTTAACGCTATTCAAATAACGTGCGAACGTTATTTCTGAAAAATAGCGTTTACGAGTAACGTCGACGTTATGGCTACCAAAATGAAATCTGAATGATAGAAATTCACAAAATGATCTCATACTTTTAAGGGAGATTATATCTCAAAATCCATATGAAAAAAAAGAGTGAAAAATGGAAAACGATTGCAGATCGTGCAAGATACTATTTTATCGTATCGTAGCATTTACTGTGCAAAAATTCTTGAAGTAGGCAAGATAAAAACGGAATACGGTATGAAGTCACGTGACTTCAGCGTTTACCGTATCTAAAATACAGATAATTGCAAAAACTCCCTATTGTCAGTACTTAACGTAACGTAACATGTTACGGATGTGCTTGTGCGTTGGCTCTTACGCTTTGTAAACGCTTCACTTAAGCCCATTCTACAATTGCGTAAGCGTAGTCGTGAACGTAAAAGTCAATAAATCCGAATGTTTTATTCAATGATTGCTTTACTCTGATTAGTGTTGTAATCACTTACAACCACTTACAACCACGTTCACGCAATTGTAGAATGGGCTTTATAGAGTGCGTTCCGAGTTGCGCATGAAGCGCGTATTTCCTACAGTATACGTGACATAAACTATAGATAAATGCGCGCATATACATAACACGGAACGCAGCCATAGCGAATTCGGTTGCTTGCACTAGTGCGCACTAAGGCTTGTTCATAGTATATTATTATATTTAAAGATTGTCTTAAATAAATTCTCAAATATTTTTAACTATAATATGATATGTACAACATCCGTACGAATCATTTTATTAGCTAAAATGTTTTTAAATATGTATTTAAGACACGATCTTAAATATAAGAATGTACTGCCCTTATAGAAAAGTATCACTAACTAGTAATAAATTGACCAGAGTAATAAATGGTAATTTTATTACTCGTACGAGTAATAAAATTATTGAACGACAGTAATTATCACTAGCCAAATAATCACTTATCAGTATTGAATTTCTATAAGGGTGTAAACAAGCCTTAACGCGCACTCAGTGCGCACTCAGTGCAAGCTGCCAAATTCGCTATTATACTTCCGTCTGTTACTATTCGTTTACATCTTATTTACTCTCCAATTTCAATTTTCACCAGAGTATGTAAGTTATTTCGGCAAAATGTCTAAAATATTTCACAAATATGCAGAATAAAAAAAATTGCAAATATTATTTAAATAACATATTTTCTCATTTAAAAAGAGTATCGAAGAGGAAACATTAAGCAAAAAAAGCATAAAAGCTTTTTGGCTAAATTTAAAGAAACTTCAAGTCTATAAAACTCTCAAAACAAACATTAACAAAAGAAAAAAGAGGCAAATAAGAGTTGACTGGCCAGTGACTGGGCGGAATTGATTATATATTAGTACAATAAAATTACAAATTCGTAGACGTTTCGGTCCGGGTTTCGACTCTTTTCAGTACATAATAAAAGGAGTTAAAATTAAATTCCGTTAATTCGCAGAAGCCACTCAGATAAGTAAACGACTGTTTCCTTAAAATCAAGATAGAAAATATATTTGAAAGTAACCGAAAAGTAGAAAATTGTTAAGTGCTTACCATGCAGTCGATACGTAAACAGAACGACGTCAACGGATAACGAACATTACGCAGAGTACAATGTAAGATAATCGAGAACGGAACGCTATATAAATCGAATACACATCTTGATTTTAAGGAAACAGTCGTTTACTTAGTGGCTTCTGCGAATTGACAGAATTTAATTTTAACTCCTTTTATTATGTACTGAAGAGGGTCCAAACCCGGACCGAAACGTCTACGAATTTGTAATTTTATTGTACTACCCTTATAGAAATATCATACTAAGAATCATTGATAATTACTTATTTTCAGTATTAAAAATACTTGAAAATAAGTAATTATCAATGATTCTTAGTATGATATTTCTATAAGGGTAATATATAATCAATTCCGCCCGGTCACTGGCCAGTCAACTCTTATTTGCCTCTTTTTTTCTTTTGTTAAAGAAACTTGTTCGCATAGAATTGTAAGGAGTCTTACGAAAGAACAAGATAATAAATATATTTTGTCTACGAGAGATCCCCCTATTGCTTATTCATAAATCGCAACTTGTCCTCAACTCATTTCTTTCGTTCGCAATATCATTTATCGAACAAATAATACAACAGAGTGTCGCGCAGCACCGGTCTTGCTGCTCACAAACTCTAATGTGGGTTTAATTCGGAATAAACGCTAGGCAAAGAATTCACGATTCAATATGTGTTCTATATATACACACACATACACACATGAATTGAAATATAGTAAAAGTAATTTCCAAAATCAAGTTTTATGATCTCTCACCAGGGATGGATATGCGCAATCCAGTAGGATAAAGCGGTTCTACTGTGGCTGCCGGAGGATTGTAAGCGTGATTCTCACGAATATTCACGAAAAATATTGCAAACACGACCAGAAACAGCTTCGCGAACAAGGAGTGCCCGGCCATCTCGACACAACGACTTGGTGTCCTTAATTAACAAGTCTTCTTATCGTTTTGGAATTCTTGCTGTCCGCATCTACACCAATCTGCGTTCTATGTCGTGTCGTCGTCTTTTAATTAATGTTAAACCTTCGAAGGACGACCAGTCTTTTATACCAAGGTGAGTAGGTGAAGAAGAAGAAGAAGAAGAAGAAGCAGTAGCAGCGGCAGCGATAACAAGAAGAGAAGGAGGTGATGGACGAGATTGACGAGAATCAATGTATCCAAGTGGGATCGAACGATACGCGACCGGTAGCCGCGCACTACTGACTCGCCGGTATTTCCCGCATAACGCCTTTTATCCTCCCTTCCTTTGAGAAAAAACCGGATCGTGCATGCGCAGATCAGTGTATCGACCGTGAATATATTTGTTTCCTCATTTCCTCGTTTATCTCCTTGTGACGCCTGCAACTTGTTAGGGGATCCGAAGCGTGTCTATTAATAAATTCGCCGGAATTTCTTTCATTATCTACAAACGCACGCGCGTCCACGCTGCTGTTGTTTTTAATAATCTTTTGAACCGGTGTCACGACATCGGTTTCGTAACGATCTATTTCTCGAACACTTTAAAGAAGAATTCCGCGTCTCTCGGCGGCAGGAGCCGCACAGTGGGAGCAAAATAATCCACTCGATCCTCTTTACAGGAAATTTTATTGTTTTGTCTTATTGCGTGTGTGTGTTACATTGCCTTGGAAAGAACGCCGCGCTGAGAAATAATGTCAACTTGTTACGGAATGTTGTTCGTAATCCCGCCCATGTGAGAAGGTTGTTGAAACATCTAAGGAAAGACGAGATGCAATACTGTTCATATAACAAACTCTCCAAATAATTGGAACGGTCGTTTTTTTTTAATCGGCACTCGGACTTAATGACATCATCTGCCTTTTGAATGTCACATCTGTCATCGCGCGCGCGCGCGCGGGAGCTCATGAGGAGCCAAGAGAAACAAGATTCTCCACTTTGCTCCTGACCTGTGTGCCGTCCCGAGATCGTTTCAAAAGAAAACAAGACATATAAATACAATATAAATGCATATTTTCTTTTCACCTTTTTTTTTCTTTTTGCATAAATAACCTCTTTAAAAAATTATGAAAAATTTGTCTGACTCTGTACACACATCAGTATCACTTGAAAGTTGAATGGGAGTGCGATTACCTATTGTAACGTTTGCTTCACCTCATCAGGTATGCGACTCAGATACCACTGATGCGACTGGCCGGGTGCCGTAGCCAACACGCCTCTTGTGTTTGCATACGTTGTTTCTGGATTGTACGGATAACGTTCACCATAAAGATCGGTCAAAACGCCACCGATGGAATGCAGAACGGCTTCAGGCGCGCAAGTGTCCCATCTCTTGCAGCCGCGACTGGCGAACACGTACGCGTGAGCTTTACCCTCCAGCAAGAGAATTACCTGCAAATGAAAAAACAGATACCATCTCGGCTGAATGCGCACGCACATAGACTGAATGTAACATACACACATACACACACGCACACGCACGCACGCACGCACGCACACACCAGGGATTGTGTACATAACCCGCGTAAAATCATAAAATGATGTGACGTTTGTATATTCTAGCTATCAATAATATCGTAATGCGTAATAACATTTGCATTACTATTAATCATGCACACATCAATAATTGAGCAAGTACCTTGTGCCCAGCGCCGCCTACACGCACTACTCGGTCAGGATTCAAGGATTTTACGGCGCTCTGTACGATGCCGTCAAAATGCGAGCTGAGAGAACGGATAATGTAATATCAAAGTGTGTACTCTTTGACTCTCGTCGAGAATATTTCCAAACTCCTCGTTACCGTGTTGTCGTGATTATTCTCTCCCCTTCCGGAGGCTGTTTGGGCGCGAATCCACCAAATCCAGCGCCATCAACGCCCCACAGTGTACGGCCGAGCGTGCCGCTTTCGTCGTTTTTATAGTAAGGTTGATGTATCACACCACCGATTGCCGTTCTCCCGATCGCCACTCCGATCAACACGGTAACATGCTCCACTAGTCCTTGAGTGTATTCTGCTGTACCTGTGCAAGGATAAAAGTATTGTATTACATCACACGGATGAGATCAAACGAGATATTATACAAGAGATATTTCGTTACCATCCAGAGGGTCCACCCAAACGCATATATCCTTAGGATCGATATCTTCCAGATGGGCCGGTAGCTTCAGCTTCAACACCTCTTGATCCGCCTCCGTGACGATCCATTCGGACGGCACCTCGCAGCTAGACGGCTCCTCCTCGCCGATTATTGTGATGTTTGGAAATTGTCGGCTCAAAGAGGCTACGATGCACTTCTGGGCGGAACGATCCGCTTCCGTTTGCAGATCGTTCTTGCCCTTATCCACTATGTTTAATCCACCTTTGCTCAGAACGTCTCGTATTATCTTGCCAGCTTGCACTGTGGCGGACACAGAAGATGCCATTATGCGCGTCAATAGTGCTGCGCTTTGGGCCATTTTGAGTGAGTCCACTTGTCCACTACTCGACGATGCTGGCAAATGTATCGTTGATATCACTGAGTATATCTCTTGCTTCTACTCGCTTCTCTTCTACATTTAATCTCACAGATCAGTGATGTTTCTCCGAGGTGAATAGTTCTCCGACACCTGCAGAGCAATGAAAAATATTGTAAGTTAAAAAACCAGCTTGGTTTTTTAAATACTTCACATATCTGAATCGAGACGGTGGCAGCTTCCTTTGTCACTGAACTGAAACATCTAGCTTAGTAGCTTTGAGTATGTAACCTTTGAGTATATAATAACGCTTCATTTCAAATCGCGAAAAACAACCGGGATCAAAACAATAGAAACGAAAGAAAAACGTGGTGCTTTTGAAAGATGAAACGTTTCTTGTGATGTGCAGCCACAGAGCTCCACTTTCAGACAAGATTGCGACACGAACGAGAAACACATACCACGGTCGCGTGAGTGAGTCTATTCGCTCTCAGCTCTACTTTTTGCGTTTAAAGTGAGACAGATGTATGCTGAAATCTGAAAACGAGGAAGAAAGAAATGGCATCGACGTAGAAAGTTCAAGCAAAATGAACAAGTCTTCTTGAATCTAGCTTGATTAAATTAGTTAGGGTTATAAGTTCCGGCCTAACTGCCACGTTACGTTTAGACGTGTTCGAACACGTTCGCACCTGAGTTTTTTGGAATACGTACCTCGGTACCTTGGATCACCTTGAATAAACGGGCAATAGAGATAAGTCTGAGTCCAAGTAAAATAATCAGAAGATTAGTTAGGTTAGGTTTGGTTACGGTCAGGTTTATTAGATCAGGTTGGGTTTTACGAACGGTATGATCGGAATCATGTGTAATGGTCGCGTTGGAATCATAGACTCGTTTAGGTAATTTTAATAACTTACTGTTGATACAACACAATTGATACAAATGTTGACACGACCACGCCTGAGATTATTTATCAATTTCTTAGATTTTAACAAGAATTTTGTAGTCCAAATAACGCGCTTTATAAAATGATTACGAGGCTCGAGCCCTGACGTGTATAAAGAAAATAAGAAAATTGCGTGTGCAAAGGTAGATATTGAATGTAAAATGTTATGCAAAATGTTACGCAAAAATCTTTTATCTATGATAAGTGACAGCTTATTGAAAAGAAATAAATGTATTGTGAATGTTGCGTGTCACTCTGTGTTAAGCAAAGGTACACATGTCGATTCTGAAAAACCAGAAAACACCACCATGAAGAAGTTGAATAATAAAATTGAGAAAATCAAGTTGAATACAACAAAAGTAGGGAGCAAGTCTACAAGCAGAGATGAGAAATATGACCTCACTGAGTATCTAGCGGATAATCTTGATTCAGAAATAATTAATATATGCTTAAATATATCCAGGAAAACGGATGGAAGTGATAGGAATTTATTATGCTTGGTTGACAGTCGTGTGGCTGCAGAGTTTGTTTCTATCATCATAGATGATCTCTTGAAGGACACATGTTTCGTCGCTGAATTGAATCCTAGTGTTGGTATGTTAACTACAGAATTGTTGAAAGCTGGTGTACCGCTGATTCATCTGTATGAGGAAAGGAAGGAATTTGATTCGATATTGAAGAATCTGAGCGATAGTTATCCTGGCAGATTGGATCGAAGAAGATTCAATCTTTTCAAAATGAACACCCTAATGTACCTTGATAAGATAACAAATAGAGATAGCATGATCAAAGTTTTTCAAGGGGTGAAAAGCAAGAAATGGGAAGACAAATGTATGCAAGTGATTGGTGCGACAAGCAATATGACATTCATGAGACATATTATATACAGTCTATTGTTTCGCAATTCATTTATGACTCATGGAAGGACTGTCTTCTACATGGCAGTACCACCGACCATGTGGAATGTTAGTATCTGTTTCTTTTATCTTGTCAATTACTTGCATTATTTGACATAATTACATTTTAGAAATATACTTGTGACAACAGACAGAATACTACAATAAAGCTGCTATTCCAACTGATGTTCAATTACAAACTCCTGGGGAAATTAAAGAGGAAAGCTTTCTTACCTTGGCTGAAAAAGAAAAGAAAGAAGAAAATAAGGTCACGAGAAAGTGAAATACTGGATGAGATGGATTACAATGAAATGTTTGTTGTAAAAGTTGAACCAAAAATCGACATATACTCGAGACTGTCGCAAGAAGACTGGATAAAATTTTGGTACTTTATCAGACATACTATGTATAGACGCACTAACAGAGTGATACCCGAAATTGAGTGAGTACAATCGAGCGAGTAACAACGTCTCTTTGTCGTGGAAAATATCATTGTGCTCTCTAACGCTTTTTCTTTTTGTACTCAGAAAATGGATACCAGGCAGTGGAGTAAGGATAATAGCACAATGTAGCTATACAATATTCACAGAATTTGGTGATTTGACGCCCGAGGAATATTTAAAGCTCTTCAAGGAATTTCAATCGTGGCCGGAGTATAAAACGTCTAGTTTTCTCGAATCTATGAAGGATGCTCTAAGTACGTTCGACGAAACGACAATTTTGCAGTTCATTGCCAAAAATGACAATATGCACGATTAGTTTTACAGTGTATTTCTCTCTATGCATACGTGAATACTAAAAGCTTATTTCTTTTTTTTTTTGTTTGGATGTTTTACCACACAAACCCGATGTAAATAGCTGCGTTCAGCAGAGAAAGCTGTTTTGCAACTGTGTAAAATTCGTGAATCTGATTGGTACATGCTCTTGGATTTAACCAAAATTAAGAGCATACTCCAATCAGATTCACGAATTTTACAACAATTGCAAAGCAGTTTTCTCTGCTGAATGCAACCAATATTACAAATCAGTGAGTGTTAAACAAATAAGATACGCGTCTGCTGCAATATTTCGCGTGTGACTCCGCGAAACGTGTTGCGCAAAACGGATCGAGTGGAATATTTAAGAATAAAATTGTTTACATATCCGCATTCTTATAATCTTGTGTCGTATTTACGAATAGCGCGACTTTTCCTGGAATTTCTCATCAGTTTCTTTTTTTCTCTTCTCCGTTCATCTTGTACATGTACATACAGGTTTTCTCACAAATTGCACCATACACATAAGTTCACGCTAGTGTACTGGTAAGGAGCATTATCACTGGTCACTGCTGGTTCTCTTTCTTTTCTTTTTTCCGACACTGGTTAGCCTTGAGGCATCTTCGAAGTCACGTTATATCCCTTCAGTGTAATTGAACGTTTCGGAGAGAAAGAGAGAGAGAGAGAGAGAGAGAGAAAGAGAGAGAGAAAGAGACGCACACATCTTGGAGTTTATTTCAAGTTCAGCATCTCGCTTGTAGTCGACATAAACGGTATATCCATTTCTTTTTCCTTTTTTAACCTGAAGCAGAAGTCATTGTCGAGTACGACAAGGGAAAACAGCGTTCATCGAGTTCATCGAAGTCTACATCACCGAGCTTGTTAAAGATATAACGATAACTGTCAGACAGTGAAGATGAAGTGTTTGTCCGTTGGCATTGTGTTTTTCGCTTGTAACTATGTAATATGGGGTCAAGATGTGATATTTCCAAACAACGAGGAAACATCTCATGTCAGCGGTGGCAACAGGACGGTAATATAGTATTGAGCATAAAATACAGAAAGAGAGAAAAGAAAGAGATCTTGTGCTGTATGGGGGCTTTGTAAAAAATTTTGATAATTTAGGTACAATAATGTGAAATTGTTATATATCACTCTAACTTATTACATCAGTTCAGCTAAAAAAACCAATAGTATATCTTAATTCTAATATTATACGATAAGCAGTGTGTATATGAATCATGGACGTAAGTAGAGAACCTCTAGTACAGAGAATCGCCAACTTGGTCACGTGGACCAGCTGATTGGCTGGAATAAATATATACGGATTTAGACATTGCGACGCCAATGCAGAACAAATGCTTATATATATATATATATATATATATATATATATATGTGGTTTTGCATCGGCGTCGCAATGTTCAAATCCGTACATGTTTATGCCAGCCAATCGCAGAATAGCTGAGTAGTTGGTCACATGACCAAGATGACGATTCTCTGTACTAGAGGTTCTCTAGACGTAAAAATACATGAGGTTTGTCGAGTTGCTTGATTAGAGAGCCTATAATCAGAGAGTCGTCAACTCGTCACGTGACCGGCTGCGCGCTGATTGGCTCAGGGCGCGTGGAGCTCCATGATCCTGAGATATATGCAAGTTCAAATAATTATATATAACACATGTAAATACTTATCAAACGAAAAAAGATACAATACAGCTTTAAAATCCTTACCTATTTAATGTTTACGTCTTTCCTGTCACTATCATTCCAATCTTTCTCTCAGAATCATGGAGTTGCACACGCCATGAGCCAATCAGCGCGCAGCCGAGTTGACGACTTTCTGATTATAGAGCCTCTAGCTTGTACTATTCACACTTTTACACCTAATGCCCGTTGCACACTAGTGCACCCATACAATACAAATTTTCCAAAATACGTTCTGAAGACACTTTTAGGACGGAGGGACGTCATTAAAATATTTTTAGGACGTCTTTTGAAAGTGTGAGCTTTCTGAAAATAGTTCATATCCAATAAGTTTATTTGCATTAATTGAACTTTTTACACTTTCACACTAAAGGTGCGGGTCCAATAGTCCATAAACATCCGTATCCGTAACCATAAACAAAATCGAGTCTTCATTGGTCGTGATATCACGACTAATCACGACTCGATTTTGTTTATGGTTACGGATACGGATATGTTTACGGACCATTGGATCCGCACCTTTAGTGCATATTGATTTTTAAGGCTGGTTTATGATGGCCGTAATCATTAACTTATGCCGGAATCGTAAAAAATTGATCAATCAATTATTCTTCTATAATTCGATTATGACTGGTCAATTTTTTACGGTTCCGGTATAAGTTAATGGTTACGGCCATCATAAACCAGCCTTTAAGACTTTTGCAGAATGCCAGGCAATAGGAACAGAGAATAGGAATTCGGATTGATCAATTATTCTTATTCCCTGTTCCTATTGGCTAATGCCTATTCCTATTGCCTGTTACCTGACATTGTGCATAGAACATAAGAAGCAATAATCGCTGATTGTTCGTTTCTTTTGCTGAACGCGACCATTCTCGCAACAACACATTCGTCTCTGTAGCGTTTCTCGTTCCTTTTTCAGGTAATCACAGAACGTATACCGGTTTTAATACCGGGTGAATGTCCAAAAGACATGCTCCTCTACCCGGGCGACGGCACCAAGAGCGCTTGGGTGTGCGATTGTAAACCCCGATTCCTCTACTTTCCAACAAATGATTCCTGCCACGAGGCGTACCGGCAAGGTCCTTGTCCATTGAACCACTTCGTCGTCCTTCCGGAGGATAGCGCGGTGCCGCGTTGCGAAGCGAATCCTTGTTTTCTGGACGGCGTGGTACCGTTTAACGACACGTGCCATTTCCTCAAATCGGCCGCTCCCTGTGGGCCAAAGGCGGTGTTGGACGTAAACGATACCACTTTCCGACTGGAGTGCATAAATATCGTGCCCTTCGTCATAATCTATACAAACAGTAGAACCTGTCCGCCGGGCACTCGCAGAAGCACACTCGGCGAATGCAAGAAAGTGGTAAAGTTCTTTTACCCAATCACTTTGCTCAATTTATCACAGAGGCGGGGGGCATGATGCGTGTATAATTATGTCGAATTGAACTCGGCGAAATTATATCGACATCTACCTTCCTCGCCTAGAGAGAAGAAATTACACATTTTACGTATAACATCAAACAATATGTATCGCAACAAAAAATATATTGAATTTTCCAGGGTTAGATCGGACTTTGATATATTACGTGTACATCATAGTCGCGTGTACACACAGATCAGGATGCAGATATCCTCAAGTAATATATTAAATAACAATAGGATCGCGCGTAACAAGTTTATCTCTTCTCCTGACGTATACTCGAGGTACATCTCTGTGTATATTATGTTATGTATAACACATACGTATATTATATATATATAATAAAAAAAATATATGCAAAGAAACAGTATTAAGTTCTCCCTTAATTTCTCATTATATTCTTACAGCTACACTTGCATTCGCTCGTTACACATGGAAATATGTGTACTATGAGATAGACAGACAGACAGACAGACAGACAGACACAGACAGACAGACAGACAGATAGACAAACACAGACAGACACAGACAGACAGATACCCAGATAGCCAAACCTGTGCGAGCAGATTTTACGCAGAGTCTGTCAACAGTCAATCAATCTGTTGACAGAATGGCAACAGACTGCACACAGAAACTGTTTTAGCAGTCTCTGACGACAGATTGGTGACAGACTGCGCGCAGAGCTTGTCGACAGATTCTGACGACAGACTGACGGCAGATTGCGCGCAGATTCTGTTTCCTAGATAGGCTATTTAATTCTATTAAGGGCCATATGTACGTTATTAAATGGGGCAGTTTCATATACACACCATGCTGCAGAGAAGTCAAGATAATTATATTGTGCAATAATTGTACACATATACACAATAAAAAACAATGTTTATATTTTAAAATTGTATTACACATTTTTTATAAAAAAACAACAATAATAGAGAAATAACGAGTACAAGTATAGAATAGTACAACGGTTAAATGGCCATTTAAAGGCGTACACATGTCATTCCTGGTAAAAATTGTTCTCATAATTTTTCATACAATTTCTCATCTTATTATTTTTTTAAATGTTGTTATGTCATTAAATCCGATTTAACCGTCATGCAATAAGTATTGAAGGCAGCAGCACCGAATAAAATATTAGTCTCGCTATGTAAATAACTTTTACAGAATTTTTTTGATGGTTTATTTAAAAATATATCATGCTTCGATTTTGATAAGACTTAATACAATCTGAACGGGACGATCGACCAAATTAATTCGCACATGTAAAAGTACAGTATTTTATTAACATGATAGAAAAATGTCATTATCTGCTGTTTTATTGCAGTAATTTTCTATACATTCCTTGGTAGAAAATTAATTTCGAATTATCGTACCAGTCTCTCTTACATTATTTATACGCTAAACGGTTTCGTCTATATTTTGCGGCTTAAAAGGCGAACAAACTATAATATTTTTCTTCCTTAAACTTTAAATAGACAATACAAAGCGCTTTTTATCAAGTGAGGAATTGGCGTAGTGTCTAAGGCGACGGACGATTATCCAAAAGATGTCTTCAGTTCAAGTTCGAATCTCACTAGAGCAAATATTAAAAATTATGAAAAAATAATGTAGAAAAATCTTTTTTGTCATAGTATTTTATGAGTATTTATGAGAAAGCGCTTATTCTATGAGTAATTATGAAAAATTATGAGAAAATTTAATTGAAGAACCTACGAAACGACAGGATCTGCGCGCAATCTGCCATCATAGTCTGTCGACAGAGTCTGTTCGCAGACCCTGTCAACAGTCTGGCGGCAGATTGGGGATGCAGATGTCTATGGATCTGTCGATAGATCCTGCTCGGATTCGACAGATCCTGTCGACAGTCTGACGTCAGTCTGCGCGCAGATTGCTTACTGGGTAGATAGATAGATAGATAGATAGATAGATAGATAGATATACACACACATACATATATACATTATTATTACGACGTATATACAAATCTTATAATGTTTGAGTCTATGGAAAGTTGATTATACAGAGTGTTCTATCCAGGTTCTATCGATCAGATAATGATAGAATTTCCGCAAAGTATGTCGGCACACTGTGACCAATAAAATTTGATACACTTGATGTACAAACACAATTATATTGGGATCGATCGTTATAAGTGAACTTTACTTGTAATTTCTCACGTTTACTAAAAAATATGTACATATAAACTGATCACTCGATAAAAGAAGAACCATGCTGTATGGCTATTTCGTAAAATCAATTGACTTCCATTCAAGGGATATTGTTTATGCGTATGAAATGAATGACCGCTTTGATTTATGTGCGCATGAAAACCAACAATCTTATACAGAATGTTATTTTTTGCGCAAAATATACATGCTTATGAAACAAACGTGATTTCCAATTTTTCTGCGATGAGCGATGCGCGTTACTCGATTGAGACAAGAACCATTGCAGAACTTTAACTCAGCTCCTGTTGCTGATTACTCGTAGTGGCTTCTATCAATCTCTGCCTCTCCCTGTACATGGAAACTTTCATGTTCTCCAGCTGATGATACCTCAGCAGTTTCAAGACAGCAAAGACCGACAGACCGACCCAAACGGTCAGACTGCTCCAGATGCCAAAATGAGCAGCACCGAGCTCAATGTGAAAACCGGATGTGTCTATGCCGTCGGCCTTGTCGATGTCATTGCCGGCTGCCAGCTCGCACGACGGAAACCTCTTTGTCATACATTGACACCAGGTCATGAAACCCAAAGTGACAATGATTGCTGCTATCAGAGTGATGGTAGTCAGAACGATGGAACTGACCACGTCGATAAACGCTGAGAGGAACGAGCTATCTTCATGACGATACATGAGCAGGGATAATCTGTATATCTGTACCGCTGATGTGATGAGGAGCACCAGTCCAACAAATATCGTATAATTACAGTATGCCTGCGAGGCCCAGTTGACAACAAATTGACCATCTGATTCTTGCCAGACTCCAGTCGAGAACAGAAGACAGTGTCCTCTGTGAGAAAGAGAGAGAGAGAAATAAAATATTAGTTCATAGCACAATGTAAGGAGAAAATACATTGGTTGCACTGTCACTGGAATGATAGTAATCAAAAAAATTTACGCTAAATTTACACTACTGTTAAATAATCGCTCTTGAAGCAGTATCCTTGGTGACCGTTCACAATGTGGTCACAGTTACCTTTTAATGTCATAGTTTGCGAATCGATGCTATTTCTTTCGCGTAAATCTGTGAAAAAAATGAAGTTTTATTGAATTCGTTTTAAGACGTAACCGTTGTGACCACATTGTAGACGATCTCCTAGACTTGTTAGATGAAATGCTTGCAAACGTCGTCATCAATCTGTTGCATCGGCCAGACATAATGTTACCTAAACTCATCTTGATGCAGACTCATCGGCACAATGATGCAGAGAGACAGAATGAGGGCTACGACGTAGCCCGCTATTTGACTAAGCAACAAAATATTCGTCAGTGCCATGTTTCACCGGTATGAGCAAACGAGAATTCTTTGCGCTCCGATCGACAGTCGAAAGATTACAATTAATGAGAGATTGTGACTAATTATGATCCATGAGTTTCGGTCCTCCTCCTTGACAGTTATCTCCGACGCAACTCACTCGTGTCCCTTGTCAAAATAAGGTGCGAACGTGTGCGCAGTACCACCGTCGCGGTTCACGGTAACGGCGTGGTCGCAACCGCCGATCAATCTTCCGATTTGCTTAGCGCGATTACGCGCCGGCATTTGAATTTGCGCGCAAAGATACTTTCTACACGCGAGTCTCTTAGATGCGAAAGTGAAACTCCTTTTGGAATGCGCACACAATAAGCGAATGTGCGCCATTCTTCAGTTGAAAATAAAAGCAAACAGTCAACAAGAATTAGATACGACGGCGCGCTGATTGATTATTCCCTTTTTCTCTTTTTCTTTTCCCGTAGTCTTGCTACGGGAAAATTGCTACGCATCGCACATATATGTGCAATAGCATAAGCAATGTAAAAATCGTAAAGCAGGCTAAAAGACAGGCGGAAAGCGCAACAAAGGGAAGCGCGGTGCGTAACGTTGCGCGCGTTTATGGTGCGCGAGCGCAGCTGTGCGAACGACGCGCCATCAGCTGATCGAGCGCGCTGTAAAAGCAGCGCGTCCGAAACGCAGTTTCGGCGGTGCCATTCCTCGTCGTTTGGCTACGTCGCGCGCCTATGACGACGGGTTACAACTAGTGTTTACGCAGCCACGCAACCGAGAAAACGAAAAACGAGAGAGAAAGAAAAATGACCTTCAGAGACTTTATCCGTCCGGAAGGTGGTCGCATTGTTCCGTGAGTATAAACGGGGAGGTGCAGCAGAATCGGTTCCGTCTGTCTCGAGTCAGTTGATCCTCTTGAATCTCTGCGGCCGACGTCGTGTGAACGGGGCAATCTCAGTTTGTTTGGCTTGCGGCGACGCTCCTCGCCGTCGTTTATGCCAATCAGTTTATGTCAATCGGTTGTGTACGTTACAAGCTCGCGTTGTATCATGTCCAGCCTTATGTGCGACACGGACGGTGCGCTTGTCCGGGACACACGATTTTGTCTCCCGTGCGGCTCGCTCCGCTGCTAAGGTATGCCCGACGACGTGCTCGCGACCGCGATCGCGACCAGACGATGGTGATGACGTTCACGACATAGCGGAGATACACGCGGTGAGTCGCGGACTCAAGCCAGCAAGATGTCCTGGATGTCGGGATGCTTCCCATGGTCGGAGAGTATCAAGAAGGTGGCCAGCAGATACCTGCTGCAACGTTATCTCGGCCAGTTTCTGGAGGAGAAACTGACGTTGGATCAGTTGAACATTGACCTGTACAACGGCACCGGTCGTGTAACCAACGTCAGTCTTGACGTGCAGGTAAGCCGAATCTTTCGCTCTCCTTTGTTCCGACATACCTCTCTCTCTCTCTCTCTCTCTCTCTCTCTCTCTCTCTCTCTCGTTTTCCCCTTCTCTCGTTTGTCCGTCTCGCTCCTACGGAGCGTTTAGAGATAAGATTACATTCGTACGCGCGAATTGTAAATAACGCTGCGCTTCATAGCGACGCGATTATTGCATGTGCATATTTTTACGTCTCGTTTCCTCGAAGTGAGAGCGCGTGCACAGCCAGCGAGATATTTGCTGCGAACAAAGAGACCAAAAATTGCATCAGTCGCGCGTGATAGTGCATGCGCGATCTTCAATTCGACTCTTTAAATTGAACGTTTCAACGACTGATCGACGAATCTAGCTGATCGTTTTGATTCAAATCATTCCGCATCAATGATGACTGATGATGATTAGGCGAGAATAAGCCTAATGTAATTTTGCATAACGTTCCGCGTGTCTTTGAATAATAATGAGTTTAGCTGTTGTTGTAGCTTTTTGCAACGTTCGGTGTGTTGCTTCGTAAATAAATTAACAATCGATATCGTATGAACTCGTCATTGTTGATCATTGTGTGGCGAGCGGCGTGTTAATAATAAATATTAATTTATGCGTCGAGCAATCTCTAATGCGATTGTCTTTTCCCAGTCGACGTGTTTGAGCGTTTCGCGCGTGCTTCGATCATTTATAGTGTTTACGGTGTTTGCTTTCTGTTGCTTCTCACAAATCATTTCTTCTTTTTCCGACACGCGCAATCGAGCAATCCGTGAATCTTTTCTTTATCTCTCCTTCAAAGACGAAATGAATCGTTTTCTACACTATAATTTATAATAAGTAATTGTTATTTTGTTATAGGCACTGAACGAATTGGGGGAGCAGCAGCAACTCCCGTTGGAATTTGTCGACGGTTTCATAACGGAAGTGTCCATCAGCATACCATGGGCGGCATTACTCAGGGAAGCGAGTTACGTCGAAGTGAGAAGTCTCAGACTCACGGTGCAGCCGCGACAAAGAACCGACACTGGCGCGTCAATGTTCGAGTCCATGTGGAGTTCCATGACGTCGAGTATGCAATTGGCACAGGAATGTCTGCAACAGGACACAGCCAATACGACCAACACTCAACCCTTGGAAGCGGTGGAGATGTTTGCGCAAACGATAGATTCGAGTAGAGTATACCGTATTATTTCGCTTGCTTTCGTGCTTTTTGTCATTCATTAGACAGATAACTCTGCTGCGTTTCAGTCTTATCCAAGGTGAAAGTCAGGTTCATAGACACTGTGATACGCCTGGAGCACGTCCCCCTGGACTCGTCCATAGGAGTGGCGATGGAAATGTGCATACAGAATCTCGAATATTCGGACGAGGCTGGATTGGATCCCAGCAGTACATCTTTGGACTGCAAGGAGTCCGCCAAGACCTACATCATTTCGGCATTCACTACCAAACGGTTTTACCTGGAGGGTGTGACCTTCAACACCGACGAGTTTCCCTCTCATGCAAGAACGTTCTCTAAAAGCATGGTGGAAAGCACATGCTCCACGCCCGATTCCAAAGTAAATATTGACAAACGTGTTTCTTTCAGAACGGTCGGCAGTATTGCGACAAATTTTAACATGAAAAAAACTACAGATAATTATTCTGAAAATTTTACATCAACCTTTTCTCTTTCTCTCTCTCTCTCTCTTCTTCTTTTTCTTCTTCTTCTTCTTCTTCTAACGCGAACAGAACTCGGACAGTCTGTTTTCTTCCGCGCTAATGTCTCCTACGCAGAACACGCCACACACTCCATCGGAGGGAAATGCCGCTAATAATGTGAGCGAATCGAATCCCATCATGTTTGCCAAGCTGGCGGGTAGACAAGAAATGAGATTGAAGATAAAACAAGAGGAAGGAGTGTCGGGACCAAAGGTAAATCACGTCATTCTTCACACTTCGTGTCTGATTCTTCAGCTTGAACGGCATTCGAAATAACAGTAACGTTTCCATTGTATTCTCTCTGTGTTCTCCAAGTGAAGGGAACAACATATATGTTCCAGGTGGAACTAGAAATTACCTTGGGATCTCTCACGCTGTTCTTAAGTCCCAGACAGCTGCACGTCTTGCTGGAATTAGCACATGGCCTAGCGTCCCCGGATTTGGAAGATGTTAGTAACGTCGTGCCGAGGACCTACACGGGAAAACCTATAGCCGGCAGTGACTTTAGTCGCATAGAACACGAACTCATTCAACACACTTATCCTGCACCAGACTTAAGAACCACGGTAATTGACATTTATAAACGTTTTACGAATATGTCGCGTTTGCTGAAAACGCGGTTGTTTATTGCTACGAGCTTTTCCGTCCTCATGTCTTGACATATCAACTACAGCATTACGAATACACGTAACTCAACGTAATGTACATCGTGAGGATTTTCTTTCTCTTCTTTTTTTTTTATTATAGGATTTGCGATACACTCAAGGTTGGTCCACGGACCCTGTGGACGAGTCTGACAACGAAGACGAATTCTTGCCAATGCAACTGCCGGGATCGATGAGCGGTTCGATGATGAGCAACAACATTAGTATGGATGGCAGCATATCCAACAGCAGCATCAGCTCGAAGAGCTCGACGACGAATCTATCCAAGCACAATAAGCATAGATACAACGCAGACAACGACACTTCCGCCGAGACATCTCAGTTCCATATGAGAATGTCCTCGGTCGCTCTGGTGCTATTGCACGAGGATATACTGACACCGTGTGTGGAAGGACGGTTCACGATCGGTCTCACCTCCAGTAGCATCAAGCAAATGAGAAGCATCGCGAAGGAATTCTTCAAACAATTGGGAATGTTTGCAACAGGCGGCTACGGAAGCAAAGATTTCGACAAAGTGTCGAAATTGCTTGTGGATGCCTGTCGACTTAGTCATATTAGGTACGCGGATGCGTCTATGTACTATCAACGATAAAGACTGATTACATTCATATTCCACTTCAAACCTTGATTCATTACAGATTATTAGGCGCGCCGCTTGTCGTCGAGGGAAACGAAAAGACCACTAGTCAGTTCTCCACGATATCGGGAAATTTGACTTTAGCTAGTTTAGAAGTTATGGAGTGCCTGATCGACTCCACCAATCCCGGTTCGTACGGAACACCAACGATGGAATTCGTCGAATTGCTCGGATTTCCAAAGGAGAATGTAACCGAACTTGCTTTTCCCAATAAGACAAACTATAGAATGAGGTTCAAGTACACAGAGAAAGCTGTTCGGCACGCTCATTCAACGCGGTTTACACACCCACGCACAGAGATTGAGTGAGCCATTTTGTAGATTAATCTAGATCATAGCGACAGCGTGTGTAAGCGCCCGACTTTAAATTAAGTTTTTCACTGAAAATACGTGTCAACGCGTGATCTTCGATTACGGATTCTTCCCCGTTATTAGCCTTTATTTTTATTTCAGCATTCAATTGGAGACATGCAGAAGCGAGATAGACATCACGATTATAGATAGAATATCTGCTGTGCTTAATCCGCAACCAATATGCACTGGCAATCCTGTAGTGAATACTAGAGATGTAAGTATATTTCCAGTGAAAAGTTGACTCTGGTGAAGAATATAATTTTTCTATGAAACATTCTAATATTTATTATTTATACTTTCAAATGTATATTTGAAATTATTTTACAGTTCCATTTTATAACGTTATATTTTAATTACCTATGTTTTATTTCATACAAAAAATGTTTCAATTACTAGTATTGAAATTAAACATGTGTTTAAAAAAAATTATATATATAAATGTATGTGTGTGTGTATGTGTGTGTGTGTGTGTGTGTGTGTGTGTGTGTGTGTGTGTGTGTGTGTGTAGACATATACATGCATACACACATGCAGGATGATTTGCCACTGTTACGTCATATATTAACAGCATGTAGAGTGCCTTCACAGGAGACAACTTTTGTCCTATAAACTATTTCTATAAGAGACGAAATGACGAGGAGGACTTGTTTTCTGGCCAGCTCGATCACCAAATCTAACGCCAATTGACTTGTTCTTCTGAAGTCACGCAAAGAATCTTGTCTATGAGACTCCCGTCAACATTCCTAAAAATTTAATAGTTAGATTTAACAGGACTAATTAGAATAAAAGAAATCTGTTAGACTGCTATCGTGTAGAGAGTGTCACACACGGCTCATTCACAGCTGCCGTAATGCGGATTGCCTAATCCACGACAACTGAACGCAATACGATAATAGCTTCGTAGCTACGCGTTTCCAAGTGACAAAAATTGCTTCCCCAAGTGTCCTCTATATGCTATTAACGTTTGGCATAACAATGGTGAATTACCCTGTATATACATTACAGTATATTTAAAATATTTTCAGAATCAGCAGACATCTTTCGATCAGGCTGTGGATAACACAACACTGCCAGACTCCAGGGTGGATGTGAAGATTTCTTCTTCGTCCTGCACGATCAAACTCAGGTATTGTCTCGACCATACTCTATATAAGGGAAATTCTTGCATGGATGAGTCGGGATGGGTAGAGCGCGTATTCTTTGCTCTTGTCCTGCAGCATATCGGCACAAATGATTATACTTTCAACTGACAATGTTAACAGCTGTCGAAGTAAAGGAGACGCATCCAAGGGAGTCATTTTGAAGTTTACAAATAGTTTAAAATTACTAAAACGCGCTGGTAAGGGAACAATCGCGAAAGATCTTTTGTAGATCGGGATGTTTAGAGACACTTACAGGCCTCTACTTCTTTTCACCAAGGCGCCTGAATACTCGCGTAGGCAAGTCCTTATTTGATGACTTCAAAAGCCAGACATTGTGTTCTCATGATTCTTGCGTTATACGTTGAAATAAAAAGATATATCCACATAATGACACTCGTAATTGCTTTAGCACATTTGTAGAATGCTCCAAACACTCTTTTGTCATACAATCAATAAATAGCTATAAAATTAACATAACAGAAATGGTGAGAAAAGTTTGGTTAAAATCTGCGTGAGTTGCGTGTCATATTAATTTTGTAACTACTTACTGATTTTAACGGCAAAAGAAGAGCGTGCGGAAAATTTTACAAATCTGCTGAATCAATCACAAGTATCGTTTTATAACGATAACGATAAATATAACGATTTTTTGCTTCTTTCGACGTCATTAAATAAAGAGGGGCCTTAATAATAATAAATGATAATAAATAATAACTCTGTCTCAACCACATGAAACAACAGCAAACTCACTCTATATACATACGAAAGATTCGACTCACACAGTCTTCCTCACACAGGTTTCCCGTGCCAGATCTAAGACCGCTGCACGATATGAATCGCGCGCCATGGTGGAAGAGATCCGTGAGATCCGATTACATATTACTGCAGATGGCAGACGCACAAGTACGCTTCAGCACGGAGAGTCGGTCTCACTGTCTAGGGAGATACGAGTTGCAGTGCCGTCGATTGTTACTTTCGTACGTGGAGACCGAAGGAGACGTTCCGCTTGAAATCGGCAGAATCACAGCCGACGAGAAAAGCGACGCTTCGTATCAGCAAGTCAGCGAGGGCTTCGGTTGGGCGAGAGTAGTGATCACTATGTATCCGCGTCGTCTCGGCGCACAATTAGAAGACAGCTCCGAGGGGGAGCAAGATTCGAGTTTGGACGAAAACTTGGAGAAAACCCCCAAACATGAGCCTTCTCCGTTCAGCTCTAAACGCGTTATTCGCGAGTCCGACACGCCTCATTCTCGGTCTGCTCACGAGCAGACCGAAAAGAACGAGCAGAGGTTAGCGTTAATGTCGAATATTCGAAGCAAGAGGTGTGGCTATAATGGTGATTTTGATGTTACGAATTTGTAAAGTTGATATCTCTTGTCGTCAACAGCGAGGGCGAGGAACTGATAATACCCGGCAATCGGCAAGAGATGTTGGAATTCATAGAAGAGGGCACACGCGGCTCCAGATTGCAATTGGACATTAGTCTACCGTGCGTTTCCGTTCAGATACCATCGAAACGCGTTTACGAGCTGCTGTACAACCGATTCAACACCGATCTGTTCCTATGGGAGCCGTCGGCGCCGAAACCCAGATGCATGTCTAACATGGAGATTCACGGCGGCCTTGATCTAGCGTCGACTCTTTTACCAGAACCCGGCACGCTGCCTAGGTATAGATGAGATGGCTCCGGAGATGACGCTCTGGAATGTTCTATTAGATTGAATCTGAAATCTTTCTGTTTCTATTTCTTTGAAATTCCATATGTAACTTTTATCTTTTTCTCTTTCTTTTTTTATTAATTACAAAGTCGAACACACGATGTTATTTGACAGGTTCCGAATGTGCAAAAGCGGCATCCAATGCTCCGACTCCGAATCGGACGATGAGGACGTGTTTCACTCCACGGAGGATTACTACAAGGATCGAATGTCGAGAAATCTGATTGACGCGCAGAGCAAGGTAGCGGTAACCGTCAACATCAGTCAGGGTCTGCTGGTGATGCGGACGCCTGTTCGCGATTCCACGCGCAACGTTATTCCGATGCAACATGGCGAAGTGGTGATCCGACTAGAGGACGCCACGATATTCTCCGTGACCGCGTTCCGCGGCGACGACGATCTCGGCTACATGTGCGGCATGGCGAGGAACATGTGGTTGAACCACTTCGGTCTGGCGACTAGCTCGTCGCAGACACCACCTTTGCGATTCGTGAACAGCGTCATACCGCACTGCTACGACACCATTTATCGGAGTGAGTCAGGCTGTAATAATCCAGGCGGTTGCAACAACGTCACGGAGACGGACATAGTGACGTTGGCGGTGAAAATACAAGCCGCACATCAGACACACCGTGTCAAAACGTTCCGCGTGGCGGTGGGCATGAGAAACGCTACGCTGAGGCATCGGATGTGTTCTCACGCGACCGCGTGGTACACACAGTTGATCGACTGTCTGGACGTAGCCGATTATCCTGTACCCGGCTACGCGCCACCGGGTGTTCTCACGGAGCTACACCTGCACTTGTGGGATTGCGCGGTCGATTATCGGCCGCTTCATCTGCCGCTCCGGTCTGTGGTGACGCTGGGCAACTTTAGCGTGTCGAGCAACATCGCCGCGCAGACCAATACGTCGACGTTGCGCTTCATCGCAGAGGAGATCGCGCTCTTCGTGTCGGACAAGACGTCGGGCAAATGCGTGGACCTCAAGCGGGATTATGTGTGCATGATGAATCTCGGGCTGTTCGAACTGTCGCTACGTTTGAACGAGAAGATGTGTGGCGGCGCGCCACGGGTGGATCTTCGCGCGAGCAACAACGTGCTGCACGTGCGCACGTGCTCGGACTCTGGTCGCGCTCTCATGCAGCTTCTCAACTATATCGCCAGCGACGGTGATCTGCTGCTGCCGAGTCCGGCGGCAGCCAGCGCCGAAAGCATGCCCGTGCCGCCGCCGCCGCCGCCGCCGCCGCCGTCGTCGTCGTCGTCGTCGAGTCACAACAGGTCGCCCGAGGAGAGTCTCGTGGATGTGGAAAGTATAAACACGTTGAGCAGGAGTCAGGTGGAGCGAGTATACAGTTTGATGGAGGACGCGCTGGAGGAGACCGGCGTGAAGGGAACGGCGTCAACGACACCGAACGTCGACGGCAGGACTCCGATGATGGAAAATCGAGTCGAGGTGTTCTTCTTTCCCGACGAGGCTTGTCCCGCTACCTCGCAGAGCCGCGGAGACGCGGAACCGCGGAAGAGCGCGCGAGAATGCGCTAAGACGACGGCCACCGTCGTCGCGTGTGACACTGTCGAGTCCGACGACGCCGACGAGGAATTCTGTATTCTAGGGGAGGAGGCTGGTATAGGCATAATACCGCGCTGCGGCGTGCCTGAAGTCCGTTGGCTGTGTCAGGAATCGTTAAGGATAGTGGACAATCACTTTTACGTGCCGATCGGCAAAGCAAATCTGCTACAGGCTCCGCCGAATTTCCCCGCGCCTGTATTGAAGTACACCCTCTGCGAGATGACGCTGATCTGGCACATGTACGGCGGCAAGGACTTTGAGGAGACGCAACCGCCGCCGCCATGCCAAAAGCACGTGATCATCAACGATAACGCGCGTTACAATACCACGCATGGAAGGTACTTTAGCTGTAAGCTAGTTTTCAGACAAAAGCGATGTTTTTCTAAACTTGACGATTCTCTTACCATGTCCGCAGAAGTAGATCCGCCATAGGTGGAGTAAGTTTCAGCAAGTCCAACTCGAACGAGGTGCACTTTGGCAGCGTTCCGAACTCACCCTGCGCAATGAGAAGCAGGGAATCGTTGATCGACTGGCAAACGCTGGGCGGCCCGGGCAGACGGCACGACGTGCTGATGGAGCTGCAGCTGAATAAGATCCGCTTCCAGCACGAGGTCTATCCGGAGAACACCGCGGAAGCGTCCAGGCAGGTTCTGTTGGTGAACGAGATTGAAGTAAGGGACCGACTGGCGTCGTCGCGTATCAACAAATTCCTTTACCAATATAGCAGTGAGGCGAGACCGAGGCAATCTCATGCCAATATGTTTACCATGAAGGCGGTTCACGTAAGGCCGGATCCCAGATTAAACGCTCAGGAATGTTGTTTAAAACTTGGCCTACTGCCACTGAGACTGAACATTGATCAGGATAGCCTACTGTTCTTAATACAATTTTTTAACGAATTAGGCGGTGGTGGATCGAAGCAGAGCCAAGAAAACGCTAGCACAGTATCCAATAATAGCTCGCAATCCACCTCCGTATCGAAACAAGGAACACCCACGCATCATCCGCCCGTTATGAGCGTGAATGATGATGCGTCGATGAACGACGCAATAATGGATATGTCGCAGAATGATATTATTGATCAAAATTTATTGATAATGCTGGAGGACGAGCTGACGATCAAAGAGAACAAAACGAAAGCCAAGACCGTCTACGAGGTTCATGACGATAGCCAGCCAATATACTTCAGGTGCGGAAACTCGAAAGCACACAAGTCAACATTGTCATGGTTTAATATAATACCTACTGTACGATTGAGCGGCTTTCACATTTTTAAATCCCTCTGTACAGAAGCGTGGTGTTTTCTCCGGAAGTTCTCGTCAAGCTGGACTATCAGGGCAAGCGCGTAGATCTCACTCATGGACCGTTGGCCGGCTTGCTGATGGGTCTGGCGCAATTGAATTGTTCCGAGTTAAGGCTGAAGAGATTGTCGCACAGATACGGACTTTTGGGATATGACAAACTACTCGCGTATCTGGCTTCGGAGTGGTTGCAGGACATTAAAAAGAATCAACTGCCGGGTTTGCTAAGCGGCGTAGGCCCGATGTATTCTGTGGTGCAGCTTTGTAAGTAATAACTATCGAAGAGAAAAAGAGATTAAGCGAGTATGATGTTGAACGAGGTTCTCGTTGCAGTTCAAGGGATACGTGACTTGTTCTGGCTACCGATCGAACAGTACCAAAAAGACGGGAGAATCGTGCGTGGTTTACAGCGTGGTGCAAACAGTTTCACGACGTCCACCGCGATGGCGGCGTTAGAACTCACATCCAGACTCGTGCACGCGATACAGAGCACAGCCGAAACGGCGTACGATATGGTCAGCCCTGGTCCCAGCGTGAGGTACAAAAATAAAGGACAGAAAGGCCGTCGAAAAAGGCACAGTCAGCCGTTGGATATTCGCGAAGGAGTGGCCAACGCCTATATGCTGGTCAAAGAAGTGAGTGAATGAGAGACGACATATTACTCGTCACGATATTTCAAGATAACAAGTATCTCGAGACGAGTGTCTCCTAAAAAATATGCTTTAAAGAAGTTGAGATATATGTGGATTATAACTTTTCTAACAATATGTAATCACCATGTTTTAATCACGTAAATTTAATATACATATTTTTTAATTCATTATCCAGGGTTTGGGTGAAACTGCGACACAGCTGGTCCGCGTAGCGAGTGAGGAACACGAGCACAAGGGTGTATCTGGCGCGGTTGGCGGAGTGTTGCGACAAATCCCTCCGACGGTCGTGAAGCCAATCATTCTAGCCACAGAAGCGACCAGCAATGTGTTGGGCGGTATGCGATCGCAGCTGGTGCCTGATGCGCGTCGCGAGGCGGTTCAGAAATGGCGGCAGGATTCCGATATGAGTTAATTTCGTTGTGGTACTGAAAGTCGTTAAATTTATCGGATTGTTCGTCAATTCTGCTCAACGCAATCTCTCGAATTCGATCGATCTGTCAGGTAATCTTGTACCGCGACATGCTCGAGTGAAAATGTTTTGAGTGCAAACGATAAACTTCACAAACGGACAGCGAAATAGCGAGAAATCAATGTCGGTATTCAACATTTCCCATACCAACGATTTCCTAAGGACACGAGCTCTCGCGCGAGGAAACTAAACACACTACGCGCAATTCGGCTCAAGAGAGAAATTTAAATCTTATTTAGAATTTGTTCGTGATATCTCTGAAAACGCGTCTTCGTATACACGTGTACAAAAAAAGAAGACACCAATGATCGTACAATCAAGATTAACAATAATCGTGTTTCATCTGTGCAATTAGGTCCGGTTGGATCATGCGAACACACAGGCAAATGATATCTAGAAAAAAACTCAAACTTAGAAATAAACTTAGAAAGTCAGTGAAGCAGAGAAAGAAAGAAAGCAGGAGTAGTCGTTAGACTCTAATTACGGAGTACTACTCGATATTAATATAGTGTAATATATTTCGATTCCGTTAATTTCCTTGTACGATGTATTATACGTCGAAATGAAATACGCGATTTGTTATAGTATACATATAAAGAAAAAGAGGCGAGTTCTATCGTAAAAAAATACATTACGCGCTTGTATGTATTTTTATTTTAATTATGCGTGCGTTTTATACCAATGATGTGTATATGAAAAAGATTTTTATTAATAAAATAATATACGCGCGATA